GGTCTACTTAAAAGGCAAATATTTTCAAATTGATTTTTAAAAAGGATTTATTTACTTATTTTAAAGACAGGGAGAGAGAGAGAGATTGGTCTTCCATCCACTGGTTCAATCCCTAAATGGTGGCAATAGCCAGGTCTTGTCAGGCTGGTCTCTCACATGGGTGACAGGGACCCAACTACTTTCACTTCACTGTGCATTAGCAGGCAGCTGGATCAAAAGAGGAGTAGCCAGAACTGGACTTTAGCACTCTCTAGGACGGGATGCTGGTGTCACGAGTGGTGGCTTAGCCACAATGCCGGCCCACAAACCACATTTTTCAAAAAAATCTAATGATAGGTTGTCTATACAAATTTCTACATAAGACCTCAGGATTCAAAAAGGCTGCAAGTAAAAAAGATGAAAAATATGTATCATGCAACTATTAACAAGAAGGACATTTGCATGACTATATTCCTAATAAAGCTAAAGAATAAAAATTATGACTAGAGGATAAAAAGTGTCCTTTCATAAGAAAATATTTCCAATATATCAATAACAATTCCAATGCATACATACCTAATCTTAAAATGTATCAAGCAAATATGATAACATATAAAACAGTAATAAGAAATTAGACTAATTCTACATAGTAGAAGATGTAAAGACACCTCTTCCAGTAACCATTAACAGTTGGAACAGTTTGTGGCTCTGCAAAATCATGCAGACCTTAAACCCCAAAGCCTTATGTTTACAAATAATGGATAACGTCAGTGGTAGATAGCTTAGGGCATAGGCCTGATCCAATCACTGTATCTGAAGGTGGGGCCATTGGAAAGTGATTGGGTTCGACTAAATTGCTAGGGTGGAGCCCCATTGTTACAGGAATTCGAAGTCTGTTCTTGAAGTCTGTTCTTTGTCTCACAGTAACGAAGAATTACCACAGGGACAATGAAGAAGGGTGAGCAAGGCAAATCAAAGTAGGAACAGAGACTCCTGTTTACCAGGAGGGGTGCCCAAGGGAAGGGTCTGTAGAGGTCCTGGCACTGGGAGCTTACAGAGAGGATGCGTATCAATCGATCAGTTCTTTCACACAGTTTCAAAATGTCAAGGGTCATTTGTTTCTTCTGTTCTTTTGCACAGTGGCCATGGTTCCTGACCAGTTAACAAACGTAATCATGTTGACCACTTGGGAGATGTGAAAGGATGAGTTATTAGGGTTTTTTGTTTTTTGGGGGTGTTTCTATTTTTAGGATAGTGTTGGAACAGAGTATCCATATTTTAAAAAGGTAAAAAATGAATCCTACCATACATCAAACTTGAGATCGATTCCAGGTTAACAAAAAATGCAAGGATGAAAGGCAAAGCTATAAGGGTTTTAGAAGAAATATAGAATATTTCCTAGATCGAGGTAGAATGTCTTTGTTGATATCATATGAAAGCAAAAAAACTGATAAATTTGACTATGTTAAAGTTAATAGTTTCTGTAAATGCCAAAAAAAGAGAATGAAAAGAAAAGTCACAAGGGGAAAAACATATTTGTAACACACATAACTGGCAAAAAACTAGTCAAGGATATGTAAAGAATGCCTAAAAATTAAGGAGAAAACAATAGATTACCTAATGTTTAAACTAAGAGATATGATCAAACATTTCACTAAAACAGCAATCAACAGACATGAAAAGAGGCTCAACTCATTATAATCAAGGAATTAAAAACTGAAATTGGGAAATAAAATATTCACCTATTGGACAAAAAATTAAGAACACTTACAATACTAGTTGAATTGAAAATTGTATCATATGAATTACATGTGACAAATTTCCATGACTTGTAATAAACTTTCATGAATTTGTAATAGTGCCTTTTTATATGGTTAAATAATAAAAATCTGCCATTTAGGCCATTGCAAAGTATACAATTCAGTGGCAATAATTACATTCACAATGTTATGCAATCACCACCATTTTAAAAATTTTCAAAAATTTTTCGTCACTCCAAATGGAAACTCTGCACCCATTAAGCAATACCAATCCATTACCCTCTCTCTCTGGCATATTAACCTCCAATCTACCTCCTGTCTCTCTGAATTTGCTTATTCTAAATATTTCATGTAAGTTGAATTTTATATTTATTCTTTTGTCTGGTTTATTTCACTTAACATAGTTTTCATTATGTATCAGGACTTTATTCCTTTTTATGATTGAGTAATAGTCCATGCTTTGTCTATCCATTCATTAACTGATGGACAGTTGGGTTGTTTCTACATTATGATTATTATGAATAATGCTGCTGTAAATATTCTTTGCTCACTATTCATTTTTCTTACAGCACAAGCCTTTTTGAAATCATTTCTCATTATTTTAGTATTTATTTTTAGAAAATTCTATAGTGAGGTTCCAGTATTTAGTGACCAAATGTACATTTTCCCATCATTCTTGACATTTTCACGGCACCGACTGTCCTTGTTCCTGTTGTTGTAATTGGAAAATTAGCTGTCCGTCTAATTTTTGACTCTGTGCATGGTATTATCTTTCTAGTTGCTTTTTTGTTTAAGATTTATTTTATTTATTTGAAAGAGTTAAGAGAGACAGAGAGAATCATCCATATGCTGGTTTATTTCCCAAATGGCTGCAACAGCCACAGCTGGGCCAAGCCAAAGCCAGGAACTAGGAGCTTATTCCAGGTCTCCCATGTGGTGAAGGGGCAGTTGGGCCAACTTCCACTGCTTTCCAGGTGCACTGGCAGAGAGCTGGATCAGAAGTGGAGTAGCCAAGTCTCGAACTAGCACCCACAACAGATGCTAGTGTCACAGGCAGCAACTTCACCTGCTACGCCACAACGCTGGTCCCTTTTTTGTTTGTTTTCTAAGATTTATTTGTTTGAAAGTCAGTCAGAGAAGGAGAGAAGAGGAGGGAGAGAGACATCTTTCATCCACTGGTTCACTCTCCAGATGGCAACAGCCAGGCCAAAGCCAGGAGTTAGGAGCTTCTTCCAGGTCTCTCACATAGGTGGCAGGGGCCTAAACACTTGGTCCATCTTCTGATGCTTTTCCTAGGCCATTAGCAGGGAGCTGGATCAGAAATGGAACAGCTGGGACATAAACTAGCACCCACACTAGATGCCAGCATTGTAACCAGTAGTTTCATCTGCTATGCCACAATGCTGACTCCTATGTGAGAATTCTTTAAAATGTTTATGGAAAGTGCATATTCTGAAAAACAAATTTAAAGATTTTATTTGAAAGTCAGAGATACATACAGAGAGGGAGAGACACAGAGATCTTCTATCTGCTGGTTCACTCCCAAGGTGGCCCAGCGCCAGGAGCTTCTTCCATGTCTCCCAGGTGGGTGTCAGGGCCCAAGCACTTGGGCCATCTTCCACTGCTTTCCCAGGCCATTAGCAGGGACCTGGATTGGAAGCACAACAGCCTGGACATGAACTGGTGCCTTTATTGGGATGCTGGCATTGCAGGTGGTGGCTTTACCTGCTATACCACAATGCCAGCCCTTGACCAAGCGTCTTGTAAATAAATAAAAAAAGATTAACAACCCATTTCCACTTCTTACCCCATTCACCCAAAAGTCATTTTCAATTTTCCTTGTTTGGTTTCAAGGTCATTGGTAGAGTCACATTAGGGATGACTGAAATCATTCCAAAGGAGCTATGCCAGAGTAGCTACAGATAAATGCATTTGAAATAGTATGACATAAAACTGCAATAAGGCCGGCGCCACGGCTCAATAGGCTAATCCTCTGCCTGCGGCGCCGGCACACTAGGTTCTAGTCCTGGTCGGGGCGCTGGATTCTGTCCCGGTTGGCCCTCTTCCAGTCCAGCTCTCTGCTGTGGCCCGGGAGTGCAGTGGAGGATGGCCCAAGTGCTTGGGCCCTGCACCCTACATGGGAGACCAGGAGAAGCACCTGATTCCTGGCTTCGGATCAGAGCGGTGCGCCAGCCACAGCGGCCATTGGAGGGTGAACCAACGGTAAAGGAAGACCTTTCTGTCTCTCTCTCTCACTGTCCACTCTGCCTGTCAAAAAATAAAATAAAAAAAATTTTTTGGAAAAAAAAAACTGCAATAAAATGGAATTTCATGTACTTAACAAAAATTCTGAGTTTGTAAAGTTACCTTTTTTTTTTTTGGGGGGGGGGTTAAGATTTATCTATTTGAAAGTCAGAGTTATAGAGGAGAGGCAGAGGCAGAGAGAAAGAGAGAATCTTCCATCCTCTGTCACTCCCCAAATGGCCAGGAGCTTCTTCTGGGTTTCCCACATGGGTGCAGGGGTACAAGCACTCCTCCCCTGCTTTCCCAGACACATTAGCAGGGAGCTGGATCAGAAGTGGAGCAGCCAGGACTCGAACCAGCACCCCTAGGGGATGCCAGTGTCACAGGCTACATTCCACCACAGTGCCGGCCCCAAAGTTACCTTAATTTCCTTAGCATCAAATGCTTACATTAGTAAGATGCTGATGTTTTCCCACTGGGGGAAAAAAAAAAAAAAAAAAAACAGAAACAAACCTGAAACATCAAGCCACAGTGCTAGCAGATCCTCTCCTAACTAGAGGCAGCCTTTAGCATCTGTATTTGTTACCTTTCTAGTGCTTTCTTACTTTCCGCTTCTGTTAAATCCTTTATTTCTGTACTCACCTACCTGTCTGCAATCAGGCAGTCCCTCTCAGTTCTGAAGAACTCTCCTTCATTCCTGGGTCCAAAGCAATCTACACAACTCTCCCTGCTCAGAAAACAGCTCAAAATAGTTAGATCAGTAATGTTGTGTCAGTGAATTCCGGATTCTCAGGCCAGCATATTTTCTCACTTCACTTAAAACATAAAAACAAAACAGAAAGACTTCATGTGTCAAGAAATTTCAAAATTAACTTTTTTTTCAAACAAAGAAATGCTTTAAACTTTAGTCACAACACATGGGTCCAAGTTACCAACCAAGAACAAAAGATGGGAATTCCACAAAGATTTCTCATAGTTCCTAGGTTTCTACATAGCAGCAATGAGAATAAATTAAAATCAGTATTCAGTTTTCATTTTTATTCAAAGGATAAATACAAAATTAAGAGATAAAATTCAAAGCAAATATGCTCAACATTTCAAAACAATTGTACATATAAAAGCCAAAAGAAGAAAAAGCAAAAGCCCCCATAAATCACACTAGCTAGACACAGTCAAGTCCAACAGCAAGGAACTCAAATTGAATGCATTACTATTTATCTTGCCTATAAACAAGACTTTATTACCTCAGACAATAATTCCCCCATCCCATAGGGGTCTTGTTTGAAGACAATGGATCAAGGCTTCTAGGGAGTTAATCTCACATTTGACTTGCCATAGAAACCACCGACTGATGCACTGATTGTTTACAAGCTCCATTTCTGGTTCTCTATTTTCAATTACACTTCCATGCCTCATATCCAAAATCTCTTAGAAAATATGACTCTATGACAGCTTTCTCCGGGAGAAAATACCTAAGTGAGCCTTGGAATCTGAGTTACTGAATCATGTTACTGTAGCGCTCACAAATGTGACTTCCAACCTTAGAGATACTCTGGTGTGGACAACCTGACCAAGGAGGGCATGAACCACTCTTACTGTACCTATACTACCTGGGAAGGGCTCAGCTGACAGAACAACTAAACTAGGTCACCTTTCTGTGAGTTATCCCAAGAGTAGTCTACAGCTCCAGGATGCTCGTTAACTAGCAAGGTTCCTACAACATGTAAAAAAGATTAGGGAAGGGGCTGTTACTGTGGTACAGTGGGTTAAGCCACAGCCTGTAATACTTGCATCCCTTATGGGTGTTGGTTCAAGTCCTGGCTACTCCACTTCTGATCCAGCTCACTATTAATGCACTTGCAAAAGCAGTGGAGGATGGCCCAAATGCTTGGGCCTCTATACCCATGTAGGGGACCCAGATGGAGTTCCAAGCTCCTGGCTTCTGCCTGACCCAGCCATAGAAGTTGCAGCCATTTGGAGAGTGAATCAGTGGATGGAAGCTCACACGCACTCTCTATATATATCTCTGCCTTTTAAATAAATACATAAATCCCTTTAAAAAAGAAAAAAGGTAAAACTATTTACCATTCAGATTAATGGTAGAAACTTAACCTTTACTTCTTTCTTGCATCCCCCACAAAAAAGTTAAAAGAATGTATTTTTTTCTAAATGCCACAGCAATAAAAAGTGATCTCTTAATTTTTAGGGAAATTATTTCTTGGTCTTTATTTACGAAGCACTCAGTAAATTCTGACAACCAATGGAAGATAATTTGCTGAGAACTGTTTACTAGAAGTAAGGCTGAACTTTATGTCAAAAATGCAGCCTGAGAAACAAATACTCCATGCTGGTGGGGCAGCCCAGGCTTTGCTGCAGAGAGCATGAGCAGGAGCCAAAGGCAAGGCAGCGGGACCCGGGGCTGGGGGCAGGTGTCACCGCGGCTTGGTGTAACAGCAGTTCTACTCACTCAAACCGCCCTGGTCTATACATTTCCTGCAAACACAGTAAGTGCTACAAGCAGTAGGGACAGGAATTCCACTGCTGTTTATAAAGGACATCCGTGAAGGGAATCTCTGTCCTATATCAACAGGTGCCCAGACACAAGAGAAACTTCAGGTTGTCTTGCTAGTCACTCACTTCAAGTATCTTTCTTCTGCAACTATCACTGCATACCCTGGAAATGTGCCACAAACTACACATTATTGCAAAAAATGGTAAAAGACTTGAGAAAGTGCCTGACCTCTGAGCTGTGTTAGCAGCTTTTCTCTGATGACCCCTTGTGAAAGCACTGCAAGTATGGGTAGAGATTTGTGGCTCTGGGAATAATTCTCTGGTCATTTCCTCCGTTTAAAAGCAACAATAATGAGTACGCTTTTGGCATCAGCAATGTTCATTAACAACTACTGCAAACACTGACTACATTCTGATCACAGTACCACTGCTAACACAACTATACACAGGACATGCTCCAAACACTGGCACACTGCTTCAGAATGAAATTCTCAGCACATTTTTGGTAATTTATTCACAGTTCAGGCTTAGAGACACTGGACTTAACAACACATGAGGACAAAATGACAAAGTGGCTCAGGAAACTAAACATTCATTTTAAAGAACCAAAGCTGAAACAGAGCAAGGATGATTCTAACATTTCCACCTCACGAGAAGTATAATTTAAACAAATACCAAAAGGTTTCTTTAAGCAAAAACACTTTCAAGAACAGAACATTCAAACAGCTAACAGGATCATTTCTATATTCATTCTGAAAACTAATACAGTAAAAAGGTAATCTGAGAATGTCCTAAGATGTTCTCATTAGCCACTATTTATGGTATATTACATAACATTTTGATATCAAGCTGGTATAATTTTACAGTCTTGCTAGTTAACTGATTCTTATTTTAACCCTGGATATCATTGGTTTGAAGCGAATGTTTTCAGTCTGACTGGGGGTCACTGACACAGATTTGGAAATATGTTTAAATTCATCAGCCTAGGAAGATATTGAAATATTAACAATCTCTAAATATAGCAGGGAAAATCTGATTCATGTGTTACAATTTCTATACTTGAGACTCTAATAGTAAAAAAAAAAAGTAATCTGAACTCTGTTTCCATGGGTAAAACACTCTGATCAGTATTCTTGTACACAAAATTTACTAAATGTGTGGATATCATGAAACTAAAATACCTTCACCATTTCCTTCAATTTTCTTTGGTCTTCACAAATTCAATGTGAGCTATGAAATCTTTTTCAATAAATAATTTTCAATGACATTGTGCTTTTTTAGGAAAAAACACTTAAGTTGTAGCATGCAACAGTTAACAGCAGTCTTTCTCTTTTATTGCTATAGTATATCCTAATTTTAAAAAACAATAAGAGAAAAAAACTGACCCTAACAGACTTCTTAAAAAATATGCTTGCTAAAGAAAATACTTCAGCTGGTTTTCTTATTTGAAGAGAAACAGAAATAGTCAGAGGCCAAGAAGCCAAAACCAGTACCAAGAAGCCAATAACAGGCTCCTTTCCTCCCAACACAGACCTAACTAGCGCCAAAAACACCTGTATTCAAACAGATAAGACAACTAGTCGAGAGGATTTTGAATGATCTCAACACAAAGAAACAATAAATGAGGTGATGGGCGTGTCCCAATTACCCTGATCTGATCACTGCACACTGTACACTTGTAACTGTCACAGTGGACCCCATAAATGTGTACATATTGTGTCAATTAAAACTTTTTTTTAAAAAAAGGATAAGACAATCTCATGTTAGAAATAACCTTCCAAGAAACCTAAGAGAGAAAGACTGTACTGGCTCTCTTAACCAACAGCCCTACTGGCATGTCACCGTGTGTCAGTTCCCTTTCAGGAGCAGGTTTGATTGGTTTTCATCTTCGCACATTAGTCATACAGTACCATAGATTTTCACACACTCTGCAACAGCCAGGGCTGGGCCAGGCCAAAACCAGGAGACTGGAACTCCATCCAGGTCTCCTACCTGAGTGTTAAGAGCCCAAGCATTTGACTTATTATTTGCTGCATCTCAGGAAGCTGGATCAGAGGCAGAGTAGCCAGGACTCAAACCAGCACACCCATTATGGGATGCAGGTGTTCCAAGCAGCAAACAGCTTAACCGCTGCACCACCATACCCACCCCCTCAGTACCACAGATGTGTGTATCTGTGCAGTCTGTGAAACAGTATACTTAGCAAACATTTCACTTTTAATGAACACGGTTATGCCTCCAAATCTGAGCCACTATTTGTGTAAACAAATCCATTCACCCCAGCTCCATTCCCTCTCTTTCCACTTCTTCACCTTGTGTCTTCCCAACAGACCTCACCCCCTCAAGCGTCCAGTCCACCTGAGGATAAACAGAGAGTGCTCTGAGGGAGATGGACTTTTCAATGTCTAGCACAGTGACTTGCCTGTAACGGGTACTGATAAGCCATTTGCTGACAGTTATAACAACCTAAAAACAGTTCATTTTTCTCTTATCCTTTATTGCTATGGCACAGGTGATTTCTTTTCAAAAGGACTGAAAAGCTGACCCCAAAGTAACAATCATTTACTGGGCCATGTGTCAGATGCTACACACACCCCCTGACCAAGAAAGGCTCAGGTACGGGGACCTCTAAGTTGCATGAGTGAAATCTGAACTTTAAATGCACCACTAGAAGTTTACATAAAGGACTCTTACTGTAGAACATCTATTCTGAAAAATCAGATTCCTTACCCTATATTACTTTGGTTTTAACTGGACATGCTCACTTATTGGTCTGCATCATTGCAACAAGATTGTTAAGAATTTATAAAAGCATTTAAAAATTACTGTATCAAATGGGTTAAAGAGCAAGAAAAAGAAGAGGGAGGAGAAACCATGTTGGCTCAGAAAATATCACTTTGTTCTTCATTTAGGCTTTCAATATTCAGCTTAGAACTTACCTAGTCGTATGTATGTGTAAGAGAAACAAGGAGAGAAGGAGAGGAGACAATGCAGTAATGAATGATTTAGCATATTATTTCAATGTGGAACGCTGACCCAAGCTATAGAGTGAGAAATGCCACATGATCTCACGCCTGTGTGCAGTCTACTCCAGCTGAGCTCACATGAGGAGAGAGCAGTGCAGGGGTTACCCGAGGTGGAGGAGAGGAAAGCAGATGAGGAGATGGGGAGATACTGGTGAAGTGGTGCAGCCGCAGCCAGGTAAGAGGGACGAGTTCTGATGTTCAACTGCACAGAAGGGTGAGCACAACCAACAATACTGCATAATTCCAAAAAAGTACATGAGAGGATTTTGAAAGTTCTCATCATGAAGAAATGATAAACATGTGAGATGAAGGATAATCTAACTATCCTGAGTTGATAATTAGACAATGCATAAACGTACCGAAACACACTGTACCCTACAGAGAAAGATGCACAATTATTATCTACTAACCTTAAAAATAAAAAGAAATGCTACAAACACATACAAATCATGTGTGTAAAATGCTAATAATATACTGAACATAAGCAATTATACTACACACACACTAAATCTAGCAGGCTTACACAAAGTAGTCTTAGAAACTAAGATAAAAACCACCAAAGTAATTATATGTAAATAGTGACCAAATTTTACTTTTGAAAACAGGTTTCTAGTCAGCATCTATAAGAGTCCTTCCAAATTCCTCAAACTATGCCAATCCTTTCTGTAACCCTAAAACACACACAGAACTCTATGCACGTCTTGCAGCCATCACAGCTGTTCAGAAAACCTTAACCTAATTAAGAAGTTCAAACACAAATAAGGAAGGAAAAGACTGGATTAAAAAATTACTGCTGAACAGCTCACCTTCACAGTTGCAAAGTGAAAATTTCTGAAAGAGAAGGACTTAACCAAAACATACACATACTCTCCTACAGCTCACAAGACCTGTTCCAAAAAACTCTGCAAGGAAATCATTATTCACAATTTTTTGGGTATCAAACTAATATTTTACTTTAAATATTTTAATCCAAATTGTCAACTTCTATTTCTTACACTAGCCAGCTGAAGGCACGTCAATACCCTTTTATTTATAACTTCTTCATTTGTAAATAAATTCCAGGGGTAGAACACAGAAAACACAGACAAGAGAAGTGATCCGAGGTGACCCTAGATGATGCCGTCTGTCACCCACAGAGGTAGAAAGCACCCTGTTCTTGCTACCAAGGCCCTCCTTAGACATCGGGAGACATAGAATTAGACAAAGACTTGCCAATCTTCCCAACGACTGCAAAGAACTGCCAGACTGGCAGTAAGGGTACCAGTTTTATGCAACAAGGCAGTGAAGGAAAGCTTGAATTAACTGCAGGAAATTCTCCCTTCCTTGACACATACTGAGTATATCGAGATTGATTTTATTTGAGACCTATGACAGCAACTCTGCTGTGATTTCAAAGAACAAGATAAAAGATGTGCTCAAAAGTTAAGAAATAAAAAAGACTACAGATACAAAGAAATAAAAACCACTTTTAGGAGATCGGAACACAGCTTCCATCTCAACTTTCCAACTTCAAATTTAAAATCTTACTGTCAGTTGTCCAAAGCAGCTCAAATGTAAAGTTTATGCTACATAATTGTGCAAATTATGTTGTTAAAGACTGGAGAACACTTATGCCCTATTATAATATTTTGCCTCCTAAATTAGCTTCTCCTACAGAAAACAGACAACAGGTTTCAGAAACTAAGATTAACCAAACTTAGAAATAAATTCCACCAAGAATAGTGTTCAGCTTTTTGTTGTACAGTTTGATCTAAAAACAAAACAGAAGCAGGCTCAAAATCAATTACAGCATCTTCTATTTATATGTAACTTAGCAAAGCCTTCAGTAAATATCCAAGTATCAGCAAACTTTGCCACGGGCTTTAGAGGCTACAGCTAAATGCACTACTCTTTCATTGGTCTGAATGAACAAAGCAAGGTAAAACAAATACCAGTTACTTTTAAAATACAATCCTCTCGGATAGAAGCAGAGGACCCAGAAATTCAATACCCAGCATTCTTTACAGAAAACAGCTGAAATCTTCTGCATATATTCCATTATTTAAACCACCCCAACAATTACTGGAAAAAATATAAGAGGTAATTTCACAAAAATCACAAACTGAGTGGACTAATTGTAACTGATATATAAATAAGGATTTACTAAAAAAGGCTTCAAGGAGTGATATTTCAAATCAAAGTTTTAAATACAAAAGGTGTCTTGTGTTGCTTAATCGTCCAGTTTCCGATGTTCCTTACTCTACAGTTACAGATTTGGCAAGATTCCGTGGGAAATCAACCTGCAAAACAAATTTTAAAAGCACAGGAATAAGGGAGAACCACTATAAGCAAGTTATTTTTGTTTATAAACAGTATGCTCATTAACCACCTTTATCACAGACTACAAAAAATTAGTAATATAATCCTATAATACAACTTGAAAAAAACTGAAATAACTAGGAAAAAAAATTCTCAAGGCACCAGTTCATACAGGAAGACCTAACATGGTCCTCTACAAAGGCAGCAGTCCTGGGAGGGGATGCTAGAAATAAAAGAACCATGTGTTTTGGGTGCCACAAGTGCTGTAATGTGGGTGATAGTTCCTTATGAGAATAAACTGGGCCCCTATCCCACCCAAATGCCAGCAGCTAACCCATTTAGAAACACGGGGAGGCCGGCACCGCGGCTCAATAGGCTAATCCTCCACCTAGCGGCACCGGCACACCGGGTTCTAGTCCCGGTCGGGGCGCCGGATTCTTTCCCGGTTGCCCCTCTTCCAGGCCAGCTCTCTGCTGTGGCCAGGGAGTGCAGTGGAGGATGGCCCAAGTGCTTGGGCCCTGCACCCCATGGGAGGCCAGGATAAGTACCTGGCTCCTGCCATTGGATCAGCGCGGTGCGCCGGCCACAACGCGCCAGCCGTGGCGGCCATTGGAGGGTGAACCAACGGCAAAAGGAAGACCTTTCTCTCTGTCTCTCTCTCACTGTCCACTCTGCCTGTCAAAAAAATAAAAAAAAAAGAAAAAAGAAAAAAAAAAGAAACACGAGGTAATGCTAATAAGAAAACAGATGGAGATTCCCTTAAGTGGGTCATGTCTTATGGATAAGATGTGAGGAACTACAAATTTGGTCACGAAAATACAACAGGTGTCAGTCATGTATCTAATGGGTTTCTCAAATGCTCCTGTTAAAACTTTAGGGGAAAACTATCAGAATGTGCCCAAGGAATAAGGCATCCCAAGACTTCTGTGGATTCCCGACGCCCACTTACATCATAGCCTCTCAACACAGCAAGGTGGAAAGCCAGCAGCTGCAAGGGGATCACGCTGAGGATGCCCTGCAAGCAGTCCACCGAGTGGGGCACCTTGATTGTTCTCTTGGTGTTCTTAATGGTCTCCGTGTCCTCCTTATCACAAATCACCACAGGGCGCCCCTGGGAAAGACAATCACACACACATACACACGATATGACTGTAAGCAAAAGCAGAGCGACGGCACATGAAAGATAAACTGTGGGGCAAACTATGCACATGGCCTCACTGACAGACCAATTTAAACTCACAGTCCTGGGGGTGAGTCTGATTGATGTCACTTACGTAGGGAAGGAAATCGAAGCTTTGGGAGATTTGGTAATTTTTTTAAAACTCACAAGACTAAGAAATTCCAGCCTAAGTTTGTGAATTCAGCTATGCCTATCTTCAAAGCTCAAGTTCACTACCACTACATTGTACTTAGGGAGCAGTACCTTTTGGAATTTCTATAGATATCCAGTGGCTCTAAAGAAAACTCCTATTGATGTAAAATCTAAATGTTAGGTTTCTCTTGAGCTATATTTAACAATCTAAGTTTAGAAGGAGCGGCACAGGTTAACTGATAGAGACAGGATCAGAGACCAAGAGCTCAGTTTCAGTCTTGGTTCTGTCTAACCTCTGAGCTGGGTCCTGTCAAAACTCTGCAGATAGGATTTCTCCCCTGTGAACCACGATGGCTATACTACAAAGCAAATGAGTTAGTGAGTTTCCCAAGTCAGATCCCTAGCATCAGTCTATCACTTTAAGTGTCACAAAATTCAAATCAGCTCTAGTAAGTAGGCTCCTAGGTTCCCAAGGTGTCCTCATGGCTGCTCCTGACTTACCTGCCGAGCAACCACCTGCTGGAGAGCGTTCTGACACTTGGCGTAAGTGTGGTCTCTCATGATGATCATGATGACGGGCATCAGCTTATCCACCAAAGCCAGGGGGCCGTGTTTCAACTCACCAGCGAGGATGCCCTCAGAGTGCATGTAAGTAATTTCCTTGATTTTCTAATAGGAAAGAACAAGGTGAGCCTTCAGTCCATTTTTCAAAAAATTCATATCCTTAAGTCAATATTATAGAAAATATCTGATATGTTAAGTTACTGTCTACTTAGCTACAAGAAATAAAGAACCACTGATCTGTAAATACAGCTTAGAAGTTAACAGATCATTATTTCTGTAATATCAACAACTGGACATTTAAAGTCCCATAAGAACCTTTTGTCTAAGACTTTATATTATCAAGAATACCTGCATATTTCTTTTAAGTGTTCTCCTATTTGCTTCATGTTTTACATCAAATTTCTTATTATCTAAAAAACTTACTACCTTATCCATATATGGACAACAAATTAACCTCAACACTTGATAAACTCAACTTATCATGCTAAACCACATCATATTCTTGGTTTTCACCTTTGGATTAAGTTCTCTGTTGTACTTTATCAAGATAAACAAAGTACACTAGGCAAGTACTGAGGTAATTTAAAGAGTTCTACCCACTTCACTCATTCAACCTGAAAGCATGACTGTGTCAGGCCCAGAAGTCAACAGACCAAAATTCACGGCACGTGAGCCAACTTACCAGCGCCCCTTCAAGACAAGTGGCATAATGATAGCCTCGCCCCATGATCAGGACTGACTTCTGATGATACAGTTCTGTTGCCAGCTTCTGAATCTCATCGTCCATGCTGAGTACTTCCTTAATCAAATCTGTAAGGAAGTAAGAGCAAACTCGATGAAAAAAGACAATAAACTGAACAAAACAACATAACAGCAATAATACTGGTAGCAATCTAGTGAATATTAAACACAGTGTTCTGTGCTTCTGTGGTGTCAGTGTGAGATTTCTTATACGTGCATCAAAAGCAGAAAGATCTTACAAAACAGCTACACAAGCTTCAAGACTAAGAACAGAATGTGACCCAGCATCCACCCTTTAGAGAACAAGGACTGATCCGTGAGCATCTTCGTACCGGGCAGCCGTTTCAGGCCAAGCATGATCTCTTTGCGTCTCTCTTGCATGGAGATCCTGTCATCGCACATCATGAGAGCGAACATCACAAGTGACACAAACTGGCTGGTGTAAGCCTGAAACATCAGAACAAGCAGCAGAATGAGGTGCAGCTGCAGCTTGGAAATTTAAATTAAAGCAAAAAAAAGATGGAAGTAAACCAAATTCCCTTTAGTTTAACAGTATACATCTTTTATAAACACTGGTAACAATAAAACAAAACAGTACTTGAAAAATTACCACTATTCTCCTTTACTGAATCTTGAACAAACGACCTAATCTTTATTTCCCACACAAAAGCTAATACCTTATCATCATAGGATGCTTATGAATTCTCTAATAAATTCAAGAAATGAAGGAAAAGAAACATGCCAAAGGAAAGAGAGCAGACAGCAAATCTGCATATGCTAACCAAGTTAAGTTCCTAGTGTCTCAAAATGTCAAGGGCTAGAAGGACTTGCACTGGTATTGCTGGATTTATTTAAATTTTTTTAAAGATTTATTTATTTATTTGAAAGAGTTAGAGGCCGGCGCCACAGCTCACTAGGCTAATCCTCCGCCTAGCGGCGCCGGCACACCGGGTTCTAGTCCCGGTCGGGGCGCCGGATTCTGTCCCGGTTGCCCCTCTTCCGGGCCAGCTCTCTGCTGTGGCCAGGGAATGCAGTGGAGGATGGCCCAGGTGCTTGGGCCCTGCACCCCATGGGAGACCAGGAAAAGCACCTGGCTCCTGGCTCCTGCCATCGGATCAGCGCGGTGCGCCGACCGCAGCGCACCGGCCGCGGCAGCCATTGGAGGGTGAACCAATGGCAAAGGAAGACCTTTCTCTCTGTCTCTCTCTCTCACTGTCCACTCTGCCTGTCAAAAAAAAAAAAAATGAAAGAGAGAGAAGAAGAGAGAATTTAATTTCTTTAGAATTGATTTTTCAGCCTTGCCTACTGCTTGTTCCTCACCCCCATTTTCTTTTTTAAACAAAAATTTTGCTAAAATTAAAAGAAAGTACAACTGTAGAAAACTGAAATGGAAATGAGAATAATCTCCAATCCTATTAATAGGAACAATTGTATTACTAAATACTATTAATAACATTTGTGAACTCTGCCTCCTAGTTTTAACCTTGTTTTTCTTTACCTTGTTACGAAAATTAATTAACAGGCACAATTTTATAACTTGCTTGTACTCCTCATTAGCATGGAAAACACTTTCCTAGGAAGGAATTCTCTCTTTCTAGTGTGTGACCTTCAACAGTTCTCTTTAGGCCTCAGGTGTCCATCTGTTAAAGGCACATGGGACTTACAAGACCATGATGAGAACTAAGACATCAGTCAGTCAGCAAAATACTTGATACATAAATCTCAAACATACAGGATTTTATTGATGGACACATGAACTAAAAGACATTTATTTTTCTATGTTATACAACTGTGAATATTTTTAAACATGTGGTCATGTGGCCCAGACTATTTTCCCTCTAATTAATTAGCTGTATACAACTTTAAGATGTGCCTGTTCTATATGAAATATTATCTTTTTAGCAAATATTTACCACTTTGACTGCAGGACAATGGGCCCTCGGCACTACTATAAAATGCACATTTTGAATCAAAAAAAATTAAGATTATTTTCATGTTTGTTCAGCATTTGTTTGCTCTTCTGAGAACTGGCTTTGATGTTATTCATCTGTTTTTTTTTTTTTTTTAAGATTTTATTTATTTATTTGAGAGATAGAGTTACAGACAGTGAGAGGGAGAGACAGAGAGAGAGGTCTTCCATCGATGGTTCACTCCCCAGATGGCTGCAATAGCCAGAGCTGTGCTGATCTGAAGCCAGGAGTCAGGAGCTTCTTCCAGGTCTCCCACATGGGTGCAGGGGCCCAAGGACCTGGGCCATCCTCCACTGCACTCCCAGGCCACAGCAGAGAGCTGGATTGGAAGAGGAGCAGCCAGGACTAGAACCGGCATCCATATGGGATGCCGGCACAGCAGGCGGAGGATTAATCCACCGCACCATGGTGCCGTCCCTTCACCTGTTTTTAATTTGGGTTTTTACTGATTTGTTTGGTTTAAATTGGTTTTTTTGTTGTTGTTTTTGTTTGTTTGTTTGTTTTGTTTTTGACAGGCAGAGTGGACAGTGAGAGAGAGAGACAGAGAGAAAGGTCTTCCTTTGCCGTTGGTTCACCCTCCAATGGCCACCGTGGCCGGCGCGCTGTAGCCGGCGCACCGCGCTGATCCGATGGCAGGAGCCAGGTACTTCTCCTGGTCTCCCATGGGGTGCAGGGCCCAAGCACCTGGGCCATCCTCCACTGCACTCCCTGGCCACAGCAGAGAGCTGGCCTGGAAGAGGGGCAACCGGGACAGAATCCAGCGCCCCAAACGGGACTAGAACCTGGTGTGCCAGTGCCGCAAGGCGGAGGATTAGCCTAGTGAGCTGCGGCGCCGGCCTTAAATTGGTTTAAGAAGACCTTTACTGTTATGTTTCAAATAGTTTTTCTCGGTTTGAGAGGTAGAGTTATAAAGAGAAGGAAAGACAGAAACATCTTCCATCCTATGGTTTATTCCCCAAATGATTCCAATGGCTGGAGCTGAGCCAATGCAAAGCCAGGAGCTAGGAGTTTCTTCCAGGTCTCCCACGTGGATGCAGGGGCCCAAGCAATTGCTTTCACTGCTTTCCCAGGCCATAAGCAGAAAGCTGAATCTGAAGAGGAGCAGCCGGGTCACGAACCAGCACCTATATGAGGATTAGTACTATGGCACAGCACTGGCCCTGGTATACTTTTTTTTAAGACTTATTTATTTGTTTGAAAAGAGTTACAGAGGGAGATGGAGAGACAGAAAGAGAGATCTTCCATCCGCTGGTTCAGTCCTCAAAAAGCCAGAAACCAGGAGCTTCATCTGGGTCTCCCAGGTAGGTGGCAGGGGCCCAGACACTTGGGCCATTCTCCGCTGCTTTTCCAGGCAATTAGCAAGTAGTTGGATCAGAAGTGGACTAGCAGGGACTCAAATTGGTACCCATATGGGATCTACAAACTATACCACAACACCAGCCCCTTGGGTATACCTTTTAATACTGGTATTGATTGGAACAGAATTTTTACTTTTTAGTTTTTTTTTTTTTTTGACAGGCGGAGTGGACAGTGAGAGAGAGAGACAGAGAGAAAGGTCTTCCTTTTGCCGTTGGTTTACCTTCCAATGGCCGCCTTGGGCCCCTGCACCCACATGGGAGACCAGGAGGAAGCACCTGGCTCCTGGCTCCGGATTGGCACGGTACACCGGCCATGGCGGCCATTTGGGGAGTGAACCAACGGAAGGAAGACCTTTCTCTCTGTCTCTCTCTTACTGTCTAACTCTGCCTGTCAAAAAAAAATCCAGGCGTGCCAGCGCTGCAAAAACACCATCCCCCACATAGGTATTTTCCATTTAAAGAACTCTTATGTTTTATGTAAAGCATTTACTAAATTCCTATACCAACTAGGTCTTTTAGTTAATATTCTTAAGCTCTAATCAATTAAAAATAAGGAGAATTTTGTGTCATCTTTTCCCATTGTTTTACTCATTAAATTGGACAGAACTTCTAGAACAGGGATAGCCAAAACTTTTGGGGGCTTTTTGTAAATTTATTTGTTTACTTATTTGAAAGGCACAATGAGAGTCAGAGTGAGTGGAAGTTGAGAGTGTGAGAGAGAGAGAGATGTACATCAATCTTCCATCTACTTGTTCACTGCCTAAATGCCCATAACAGTCAGGGCTGGGCCAGGTCAAAGACAGGAGCCAAGAACTCCATCAAAGTCCCCCACACGGGTGTCAGGAAGAGGCTGGGTCATCAGCCACTGCCTCCTGGCCACATCAGCAGGAAGCTGGACTGCAAGAGGAATAACTGGGATTCAAATTGGCACAATAATCAATGCCCACCCAACAAACAGGTTATGTAGAGCCAACACCAGCCGTCAGCAGTCACAGTAAAACACATCATGTTGAGAGAGTCTAAGTCCATCCTGTTTGCTTCTGTATCACAGATAAAAATTCTTGGAAGGTTCAGAAGAGTAGCTGAGGCCAACTGACATGAAGTTCTTAAAGTTTTCTGTTCTGCTTTTCTGTTTGTTTGTTTTTTCCCATTTTTCTCTATTTGTCACATTCTATTTCATTAGGTTTCTACAGGCTTGGCTCATTTTCTCTCTGAAAATAAAGGATTATAGAATTTACCTCTTGGAGTAGGTGTTGGGACACCTGCATCCCACACTGGAGCGCCTGGGCTGGAGTTATGCTCCAATCCCAATTCCAGCTTCCTGTTAACTATGCACCCTGGGACGCAGGAGGTGACGGCCCAGACTCCATGTGAGAGATCTGGATTGAGTTCCTGGCTCCTAGCTTCAACTCTGGCTCAGAATCAGACAGGTGTTGGGGAGCGAAGCAGCAGTTAGGAGACTGATAGCTCTTTCTCTGTCTCTGTCTCTCTCTGCCTTTCAAATTAAACATTAAAAACATTTTTAGGGGCCGGCGCTGTGGCACAGCGGGTTAACGCCCTCACCTGAAGCGCCCATATGGGCGCCCATTCTAGTCATTCTAGTCCCAGCTGCTCTTCTGACCCAGCTCTCTGCTATGGCCTGGGATAGCAGTGGAAGATGGCCCACATGCTTGGGACCCTCCACCAGCATGGGAGACCCGGAAGAAGCTCCTAGCTCCTGGCTCCTGGCTTCAGATTGGCGAGGCTCCGGCTGTTGCAGCCATCTGGGGAATGAACCACTTTCTCTGTCTCTACCTCTCTGTGTAACTCTGTCTTTCAAACAACTAAAATAAATCTTTAAAAGAAAAAAAAAAAAACATTTTAAAAAGAAGTTAACTGTATCCTACAGCCACACTGTCTAAATTTTTATAATATTGTTCATAATCTTTTGTAACACAAACACATCTCATTCTTAATGGTACTTCTAACTTTCTAACCCAATAATATATTTATGTTTCAAGCATGAGGCTTTACTTCCATGTTTATTATTAAATCACAAGAATTACTCTGCTGTGATCAGCTGCATTGTTACATACAATTCTAACTTTAGGAATGTTACTGTTGCTGGCGCCGCGGCTCACTAGGCTAATCCTCCGCCTTGCAGCGCCGGCACACCGGATTCTGTCCCGGTTGCCCCTCTTCCAGGCCAGCTCTCTGCTGTGGCCCGGGAAGGCAGTGGAGGATGGCCCAAGTCCTTGGGTCCTGCACCCCATGGGAGACCAGGAGAAGTACCTGGCTCCTGCCTTCGGATCAGCACAGTACACCGGCAGCAGCTCAACGGCCGCGGCGGCAATTGGAGGGTGAACCAACGGCAAAGGAAGACCTTTCTCTCTGTCTCTCTCTCTCACTGTCCACTCTGCCTGTCAAAAAAATAAATAAATAAAAAATTTTTTAAAAAAGCAATGCAGGCGTTTTTTTCCACTGCATTGCTATTACAGCTTAATTTCCAACTTCAATTTGATATTTTTAATTTCAATATCAATAGAAACCAGGAAACCAATTATAAGAAAAATAAGTTATATCCCATATTTAGAATGTACTGAGGTTTGAAAGAATTTAGCAGGAAAATGTTGACTTTGAACTTTTAAACTTGGTTCTTCTTTTTATTCAGCGAAAAACAAAGTTATATTGGTTTATTTTAAAAAATCAACAATAGTCAGCACTGTGGTTAAATTCTAAACACCTGCAATAACATACAAAAATTGCTGAACCTGCACACTTATGCCCATCCACCCCTGCAGAAATATCAAATTGTCCACGGTCTGGTATTAGGAGCAAGTCCACAACATCCCTCTAATCATGACAGTTTTCCAGGCAAGGTTGGAATTCATAAACAAGATCATCACTAGGCAATGGGACCAGGATCAAAGATCTTTAAAGTAAGTAGCATAGGGGCCAGTGCTGTGGCGCAGCTGCTCCACTTCTAATACAGCTCTCTGCTGTGGCCTGGGAAAGCAGCAGAAGATGGCCCAAGTCCTTGGGACCCTGCAGCCATGTGGGAGACCCAGAAGAAGCTCCTGGCTCCTGGCTTCGGACAGGCCCAGCTCCAGCCGTTGCGGCTAATGGGGAAGTGAACCAGTGGATGGAAGACCTCTCTCTCTCTCTGTTTCTCTTTCTGTGTAACTCTTTCAAATAAATAAACAAATCTTTATTGGCCGGCGCCACGGCTCACTAGGCTAATCCTCCGCCTTGCGGCGCCGGCACACCGGGTTCTCCTCCTGGTCGGGGCGCCGGATTCTGTCCCGGTTGCCCCTCTTCCAGGCCCGCTCTCTTCTGTGGCCAGGGAGTGCAGTGGAGGATGGCCCAAGTGCTTGGGCCCTGCACCCCATGGGAGACCAGGATAAGTACCTGGCTCCTGCCATCGGATCAGTGCGGTGCGCCGGCCGCAGCGCACTGGCCGCGGCGGCCATTGGAGGGTGAACCAACGGCAAAAGGAAGACCTTTCTCTCTGTCTCTCTCTCACTGTCCACTCTGCCTGTCCAAAAATAAGAAATAAAATAAAATAAAATCTTTATTTAAAAAAATTAAAAAAGAAAATAAGTAGCATAAAATAATGCCTGCTTTCTCATAGAAGATTTAACCACTGGGGGAAACTGAGCGAAGAGTACATGGGGCATCTCTGTATCATCTTTGTAATTTCTATAAATCTATATTTCAAAATAAAGATTTTTTAAGGAATACAAATAAAGAACTACTGATACAAATAAAAATATGAATGAATCTCAAAAACTTTATCCTCTGAAGTGAAAAAAGCCAGACAGAAAAGCCATATATTATATAATTCCATTTGTAAGAAATTTCTGGAAAAACATAATCAAATACAAGAATGCAATAGTCACTAGGTGTAAGAGTAAAAGGCAGGATTAGAGATTCACCATAAAGAAGCACAAAGAAATGTTCAGGTGACTGAAATGTCCTAAAATTGAATTGTGGTCATAGATGCACAAAAAAAAAAATTTAGCAAAGCTCTATACTTGGGGCCGGCACTGTGGCGTAGCGGTAAAGCTGCTGCCTGCAGTGTCAGCATCCCAAATGGGTGCCAGTTTGAGTCCTGAGTGTTCCATTTCTGATCCAGCTCTCTGCTATGGCCTGGGAAAGCAGTAGAAGATGGCCCAAGTCCTTGGACCCCTGCACCTGTGTGGGAGACCCGGAAGAAACTCCCAGCTCCTGGCTTCAGATCAGCCCAGCTCCAGCCAATGTGGCCATCTGGGGAGTGAACCAGCAGATAGAAGACCTCTCTTTCTCTCTGCCTCTGCCTTTCTGTAACTCTCTGCCTTTCAAATACAAATAAATCTTTTAAAAATATATATATATATTTAATATTGGTGAATTCTATGGTTTAGAAATTGAACAATTGAAAAAGAGGTTAATGGTAGAATCCAGGTGGTGGCTATATATTTTAATGTAAAATTTTAAACACTGTTGTATGTTTGAAAATTATAATAAAACATTGAAGAAATTTTAAGTTCTCACAAACAAAAGAATTAGAAATCAAAAGAAGGGGCTGGTACCTAGGCACAACGGGTTAAAGCCCCAGCCTGCAGCAATGGCATCCCATATGGGCACTGGTTCAAGTCCTGGCTGCTCCACCTCCAATCCAGCTCCCTGCTAAGGTGCCTGGGAAAGGATGGAGGATGGCCCAAGAGCCTGGGCCCCTGCAACCATGTAGGAGACCCGAAGAAGCTCCTGGTTCCTGGCTTTGGATCAGCTCAGCTCTGGCCATTTGCGGAGTGAACAAGTGGATGGAAGACCTCTCTCTTTCTCTGTCTCTACCTCTCTCTTTGTAACTCTTTCAAATAAAAAAAATACATCTTTAAAAAAAAAGTCAAATGGGCACTGGGTTCTGTCCCGGTTCCTCCTCTTCCAGTCCAGCTCTCTGCTGTGGCCCGGGAAGGCAGTGGAAGATGGCCCAAGTGCTTGGGCCCTGCACCCGCATGGGAGACCAGGAGGAAGCACCTGGCTCCTGGCTTCGGATCGGCGTAGTTCTGGCCGTGGCAGCCATTTGGGGGGTGAATCAACGGAAGGAAGACCTTTCTCTCCATCTCTCTCTCACTGTCTAACTCTGTCAAATAAATAAATAAATAAATAATCAAAAGACTATCTCCCATGACAGTTCACAGTTCAAGATTTTATAAAAAGGTAAGTCAACAGCATGCATTCAGTTGAGTGATCCCGTAGCCCACATACACCACACTGAAGCCCTTGTTGCCAGACCCCCATCAAAGCTGTCTCTTTCCACAATGATACAGACACCCACGAGCTGCCACCAGGGAGGGTGGCTGGTTATTTTAACCACAGGAATGGAAACCCTCATACTAACATCTATTACTATATAAGTAAGATTACTATATAAGAAAACTCAAGTTTCAGCTATCTGTAAATTATGATGCTAGCAATATCAAAATACCCACATGGGTGAACATCTTTTGCATTTATACAACTTTCTAAGATCCTAATTGTCTTACTATAATAAATTCAGGCATATCCTCATTTAAGAATAATAGTCTCACTAAGCCTTTTTTAAAAACGGAAAACACTGTTTTCCCAAATATCTATTTATTTATTTGAAAGGCAGAGTGACAGAGAGGGAGAAACACAGAGAGAGATTTTCCATCCACCAGTTCCTTCCTCAAATGCCCCCATTAGCCAGGGTTGTGCCAAGCTCATCAGGAATCAAGAACATTAACCTGGTCTCCCACATGGGTGCAGGGACCCAAGTGCTGGGCCATCGTCCACTGCCTTCCCAGGTGCATTAGCAGGAAGCTGGATCAGAAGTGGAATAGCCAGGACTCAAATCAGTACTCCAATAGAGGATGCAGGTGTGCCAACTGATGCCACAATGCCTGCCCCATTTGAAAATACTATTAAGCCATTGCAGTATCCAAAGAGAAACACATATTGTCATACAATACTCACTAAAAAAAATTTTAATCCTTCTTTATAATGCCAAATTTTACACCAAAGTGTACTACTCTTCATCAACTTTTTTTTTTTTTTACAGGCAGAGTGGACAGTGAGAGAGACAAGAGAGAAAGGTCTTCCTTTGCCGTTGGTTTACCCTCCAATGGCCGCCGCGGCCGGCGCACCGCGCTGATCCGAAGGCAGGAGCCAGGTGCCTATCCTGGTATCCCATGGGGTGCAGGGCCCAAGGACTTGGGCCATCCTCCACTGTACTCCCGGGCCACAGCAGAGAGCTGGCAACCGGGACAGAATCCGGCGCCCCGACCGGGACTAGAACCTGATGTGCCGGTGCCGCAAGGCGGAGGATTAGCCTAGTGAGCCGCGGCACCAGCCCACCAACTTTCAAAGGTAGTATGTATATTCTGATATATTTATAAGAAGTCAGGAATGTGTAAGTAAAAATAAGTCCAAAATTATTACAATTTAATAATTTGTTACTTTTCTAATTGCTGACTTTACTTAATAAAAGGAGATATTATACGGTTACCATGAATCCCACTATACCTGGCAGGAGGATTTGAAGGTTAAGATGCCAGGAAAGACACTTGCAATCCCATAACAAAGTACCTGGGGTTAACATCCAGCTTCCTGCTAATGGACACCCTGGAAAGCATCAGTGATGACACAAGTGATTGGGTTCCTGTCACCCATGTGAAAGACCTGGACTGAGTTCCTGGCTCTTTGCTTTGCCCCAGTCAGGGGCAGTTGGGAGCATTTGGGAAGTAAATAAGTGGATGAGAACTCTTTCTCTCTGCCTCTCAAATAAATAAATAATGGATGAATGAGGGTAGCCAGCAGGGACTTTTCCAAAGTGAACTTACGTTATAGACATTTGTCCTTTTAAACTTAAATTCTATGAGTAGGGGGAAGAAAGGGAAAATAAGTCTTACTTATTACAGACTCTTAAGTCTTAAGAGTCTGTAATAAGTCTTACAATGATTATATTTGAGTAGGTGTTCTACAACTGCTAACACATGAAAAATAAGTTGCAAACTAGTCCACAGACACCACAATTAAATAATCACCAAAGAAATAAGCCAAGACATCACCTTTGTACTGGCCACGCCAATTTCAGGACCAGCATTGATGTGAACTCCACAGTCTGTCTCCCTTGAAATAGAACTGCCAACTGTATTTGTGATTCCCACGGTTAAAGCGCCTCTCTCCTTACAGTACCGAAGACCCATCAGGGTATCTGCCGTCTCACCTGTGCAAAAAAGGACCACAAATGTAATACACAGAGCACTTTCCATGTAAGCCATTTCTTAAATGCAAAAACAAACTGACCGCACTGTATTTTTTATTTAATTAATTAATTACTTTTCATTTTATATGAAAGACAGAGATCTACCATCTACTGGCTCACATGTTAAATGCCCTCAATAGTCAGGCCCAGGGCCAGATGAAGCCAGAAGCCTGGAACTCAACCTGGATCTCCCATGCAGATAGCAAGGACACAGCTACTTGGGCCATTTCCTCCTGCCTACCAGGGTAAGCATTAGTAGGAAGCTGAATGGGAGTGGAGAAGCCATGACACAAACCAGACACTCCAATATGGGATGTGTGTCCCAAGGGACATCTTAACTGCTGCACCAAATGCCTGCCCCAAATTGCCACACTTTCAACAGTATCACTTTTTATATATAAAGCATAAAACATGCATTTAAAATTGGCTTTTTAGGATCTCTTCTCATACTCTGCCTTTGAAAATTCAGCTCTTTTCTACTAATTCATAAAGAACTAAGTAATATTAAAATAGATGTCATATCATTTGCAATACCAGTTTATCTTTTTTTTTTTTTCTTTTGACAGGCAGAGTGGACAGTAAGAGAGGGAGACAGAGAGAAAGGTCTTCCTTTGCCGTTGGTTCACCCTCCAATGGCCGCCGCGGCCAGCGCGCTGCAGCCGGTGCACCGCGCTGATCCGATGGCAGGAGCCAGGAGCCAGGTGCTTTTCCTGGTCTCCCATGGGGTGCAGGGCCCAAGCACCTGGGCCATCCTCCACTGCACTCCCTGGCCACAGCAGAGAGCTGGCCTGGAAGAGGGGCAACCAGGACAGAATCCGGCGCCCCGACTGGGACTAGAACCCGGTGTGCCGGCGCCGCAAGGCGGAGGATTAGCCTAGTGAGCCACGGCGCCGGCCAATACCAGTTTATCTTTAAACATCAGTTTTTGCCATGATACTCTAGAATAACTACAAATAATGACTTTCCTTCCCTTCCAGTCTTTATAATTAATATGCCTCTGGGCAGATGCTTGGGCTAGCAGTTAAGACACTACTTGGGGGGCCGGTGCTGTGGTGGAACAGGTTAATGCCCTGGCCTGAAGAGCCAGCATCCCATATGGGCGCTGGTTCTAGTCCCAGCTGCTCCTCTTCCAGTCCAGTTCTCTGCTATGGCCTGGGAAAGCAGTAGAAGATGGCCCAAGTCCTTGGGCCCCTGCACCCACGTGGGAGACCTGGAAGAAGCTCCTGGCTTCAGATCAGCGCAGCTCCGGCCACTGTGGCCATCTGGGGAGTGAGCCAGAAGATGGAGGACCTCTCTTTCTATCTCTACTACCTCTCTTCTGTAACTCTGTCTTTCAAATAAATAAAATAAATCTAAAAAAAAAATAAAGAAAAAAAAGACACTACTTGGGATACCCATGTCCCATACTGAAGTGCCTAGATTCAAGTCCCAGCTCCACTTCCGATCCAGTGCCCTGCTAATGTGCACCCTAGGAGGCAGTGGTGAAGGCTCAAGTAGTTGGGTCTCTTTCACCCACGTGGGAGAGCTGGATAAGGTTACCAATTCTCAGCTGTTGTGGGCATCTGGAAAGTGAATCAGGAGACAGCAACTCCATATCTCTATTTCAATCCCGGCCTCTCTCTCTGTATCTCTGCCTTTCAATCAAATACGTTTTCAGAAATAAATTTAGAGGCCAGCACTGTGGCATAGCGGATAAAGCTGCTGCCTGCAGTGCCGGCATTCCATATGGGTGCTGGTTCGAGTCCCAGCTGTTCCACTTCTGATCCAGCTCTCTGCTATGGCCTGGAAAAGCAGCAGCAAATGGCCCAAGTCCTTGGGTCTCTCACCCGCGTGGGAGACCCAGAAGAAGCTCCTGGCTCCTGGCTTAAGATCAGCCCAGCTCTGGCCATTGTGGCCATTTGGGGGAGTGAACCAGCAGATGGAAGACCGCTCTTTCTTTCTCACTGCCTCTGCCTCTCTGCAACTCTGCCTTTCAAATAACTAAATATTCAAAAATTTTTAAAAAAAATTAACACACCTGACTGACTAATGAAAAAGCAAACATCATCTCGAAAGACTGGCGTGTTTCTATCCAAGAAGTCACTGGCCAGTTCCACCATCACAGGCAACTCTGTCAGCTCCTCCAGAACTTGACGTGTCTGCAGAGAAAAGATGACTTGGTCACACAAGTTTTCTTTAAATGCCCTTCTTCACCAGCCCTCTTTAGACTTAACATATAGTTTTCACTGTCTCTGATCATAAAAATGATACATGAGTAATGTCAGAAAATACAATGTAGATTTGAGCACAAAAAATAATCAAAATCTCCATACTCAAGACAGAAGCAGTTAACACTTTAATGCTGTTTAGACAACAATCAATGCATACATTCTTACATGCAAACACATCCACACACGTAAAACAAGTTGAAAAAGACACTGTGTCAGCTTGTATGTTATCTCTGACATCTCAATTCCAAACTTTACAATGAAAATTCATCTGATACCAGAGTCACTGAGGGATTTAATTGAGATGATAGGTGAAGAAATATTCAGTGAAAATTTAAATACTTTAAAAATGTACCATATTCATAAAAAGTACCATTTTCTAAAACAAGTCAATGCATTTCAGAAACTCTGTTTAAGAGGGCATACAGGGGCTGGCACTGTGGTGTAAGCGGATAAAGCCGTCGTCTGCAGTGCCAGCATCTCCTATGGGTGCCGGTTCAAGTCCTGGCTGCTCCACTTCCAGTCCAGCTCTCTGCTATGGCCTGGGAAGATGGCCCAAGTCCTTGGGCCCCTGCACCCATGTGGGAGACCTGGAGGAAGCTCCTGGCTCCTGGCTTCAGATCAGCACAGCTCCAGCCATTGGGGCCAATTGGGGAGTGAACCAACGAACGGAAGACCTCTCTCTCTCTCTCTCTCTCACTGCCTTTCCTCCTCTCTCTTTGTAACTCTTTCAAATAAATAAATAAATCTTAAAAAAAAAAAAATAAAGAGGGCATACAGTTTTCAAATTCTGTAGCGTAGGGAGGAGGGACTGAGGTAAAGGGGAGTGTGCTTCTCTTCAGAGGGCTCTTAATATTCACTTCTCTAAGTTTCCACCTAACTAAATTTTTTCTTTTAATTCTAAACATCAGAAATTTTAAAACAGCACAAAAATACATTGAGGGAGCAAAACCTTCAGGCCCAATAGACGTATACAGCTGGTGCTGCTCCCAGCGCTGGAGATGGCCTCTCCTGATGGCCTTCTGCCAGCCTCTCCAGCCAGACGGCCCCACCCATCTCCGCCCACTCTGCTCTCCTCCTCCACAGCCCTTTAACTGCTGCCTGCACACAAACATAAACAGAGCTGTTTTATTCTAGATATTAGGTAACTGGTTTGGCACTTTTTAAACAACTATATATACCTTCATGTACAGAAAGTCTTTTTTAATAGAATCCTATTTTTTAATTATCCTTTTCCATTGATGCATTTTATCTACTAATCATACATAAGTTATTGACATTAAAATATTAAATGCTCTCCCGTAAACAAATGTAAATAGCCCCCCCCACACACACACAGTTTATAATATAACTTTTACACTGGAATACACTCTCTAAAATAAAAAAAGAAAGATACAAATCTGGCAACTTACCAGACATCTTAAAATAATACACTCTGAAAGAGTAATCTCAAGATATAACCTATGCTATTGAAGAGTTTGTTCTTTCAGAGGAAACTACTTCTTATAAACACACAAAATGGCATATTTTCATTGTAACAGAAAGCAATACTATAAATTCTATTGCAGGCTACTGTAAAACTCAGAAACAAACTTTGAGAAGCATGCTAGACTTGGAATGACTTTAGTGCAGTCAGTTATTACTCAGGATATACTAGAAAGTGTCATGCAAGTCTGTCATTCACACTTGACTCCATCAAAAAACAAACATGTAAGACAGAATTATTGAATTAAATGGCACCATTTTGTATGACAAATAGCAGAGGGGATTTCTGATCTTTTTTAACTACAGTAGTCTTCTCATCCACAAAATACAAAACAAACTTTTATTACCTCATATTCAGGCATGATATAAGAATTAGAGAATTCTAACATATCATATAATTCCTGCCCCAAAATTCAGGCCTAGCATTAGATGAAGCAAATAGTGAATTTTTAAATTTCTGAATAGAGGGCGCATTCAGCAACAGACATATGCCACCACTGAAGGAGCGCATCCTTTCCTTAATTTGCACTGAAGTCTCCAACTCATTCTGCTTCCCACGCTCTCAACAATAACCTCCTTAGATCTCTCCCTTCAATATTGCACAGACTTTCCTTTTAGGACCATGTAATTTGGGGGCAGGGGTGGCCTCCGAGAAGAGCAAAGCTTGTTGGGATGCAAGGGTGGATATCTACACAGTTCCACAACTCACTAGTTCAACGACTGGCTCCTACAAGGGTATGATAATAAATATTTATGCCCCAGCAAATAAAAAATTACTATGTCTGAACTTTGGGAATCAATCCTAGAAGCAGAAACTGAATGAAAAGGTCTTCTATCAACAGCACAGAAACTGGCTCTTCCTAAGGAGACTACATGTGGCTGATTCATTGGACTACAGATGATCATATTCCAATGCTTCTGCACTGACAATCAATACACATCTTTGATACAGAATTTCAGCTCCTAAAACAACAATTTAAGAACAAAGCCTGACAAAAAGCAGGCTTCTTTGCTTTGCCGAAATGCACCCATGACTAAGATCCTGTTGAGGATCGCACGTTAGTGACCATCAGTCTGGGGCAAGTGAACAACGCCCAGCAAAACGCGACGACTGCTCTTACACAGCAGGCATGCTCTGCAGGCCGTGAGTCTGGGATGGAAGATGCCAGGCTCTCCCTCCTAGAGCTCCCGTGAAGTCAGCTGCACCGGTCCGTCTGCATGTCTAAGGACCTCTCCACAGCAGATCTTCCACTGTTGATCACTCTGAGCCGCTCTTTGCATTTCTCCCCCTCCCTTCCTGATTTCTGTCTTTGCAAACATGAAAAGATAACTTTCAACAAAAACACTATTACCCGGCATGTTTCTAGAGGTACTATCAGTATCAGTCTGCAGACATCTCCTAAGCCCCAACACAACATAATTAAACTTCCAGGAAGCCACTTACCGCTACTCCTGCATGGTAACTCGTTCCACAGGCAATAAGGATCAGACGCCGACACCTCTGGATCTCCTTAATGTGATCCTTCAAACCACCCAGATTCACTAAAATAGAAGTTTGTGTATATACATAGTTAGGAAAGAACCATATGAAATAGGCAATCGCTTTTCATGAGTTCCACTGTCAATACGAGAAATTACACTGCCATTTTAGAGACTTCAGATTCCTTTTAGAAAACAGTTCCCCACAGTTCTGAACAGGTCACAACTTAACAGCCTCCCCCACCAAAACATGTAATTAAGCTTCCTCGCCACCACACAATCACCCACAGTTACTATATTTTTGACATTCAGTGATTTTTCCATCCTTCTCTTTGGATTAAAGGTTATCTTAAAGGCAAACAGACAAAAGATAAACAGATGTGGAAGGCTGGAGTGGGGAGCAGTGGACAACAAAGGAGCAGGAAAGGGCTGGCAAGACGCAGGTGTTCCACAGCTCGCCAGGGAGAGGGCACCACCTCGTGAACACCCACCTTGTGGTTATCCGGGTCAAGCACTGAGTGACGTTTAACAGGGTTCCAGACTCACTCAGTTCAGGGCCTGGCTGAGCAGAAGGTCAAGTCTAGCTTCAGGGATGTCCTCCTCCACCTCTCTCACCTCACCCTATCTACTCTGCCCCCGCTCCCTTGATCTCCCTACCCCTTTTTCTACCCTAATTAATTAAACTATTAAGCCATGGTAGATGTTCTATTTTTTATCTTCTCAATAATTTTATATTCTCCATTTTAAATTTAAATAGTAAGAAAGGTCATATTTCTTTATTTTAAAAACAATAGCAAAGTGGAAAACAAAATAAAAACAATAACAAGAAGAGTACTGCCTTCCCAAATTACTTCAAATCCAACCCAAAATCTTTATTATGACCTTCAAGTGCCTCATGACCTGTCTCTTGCTTAATTCTGACCTAATCTCCTATATAGCCCCTCTAGCAGGCCATGCCAGCCAGACTGGCCTTCTGCTGTTCCTACACTAGACAGACCAAGCCTGATACGCATCTCTGCCAACTTTCCACAGAGCTCAGCCCACACTGCAGAGGTTTAGGGACAAAGGAAATAACAGTAAGAGGTTGGGTCAGGGTCATGCAAAGGGAAACCATTCTGAAAATGACTCAGGATAAAAGCAGACTTAGAGGGGTTGGAGCTGTAGCACAGCGGGTTAAGCCACTGTCTGCAGCATCAGTGTCTCAAATGGTTCAAGTCCCAGCTGCCCCACTTCTAATGTGCCTGGGAAAGCAACAAAGGATGGCTTAAGTATTTGGGCCCCTGCAACCACATGGGAGACCTGGATGAAGACCCTGGGTCCCAGCTTCTGCCTGGCCTCATCTAGGCTGTTGCAGCCATTTGGGGAATGAACAAGGCATGGAAGAATGATCTCTCTTTATATCTCTTCTCTCTCTATCTCTGCAACTCTTTCAAATAAATACATCTTTAAGTAAAAAAAAAAAAAAAAAAAAAAAAAAAAAAACAGGCTTAGAAGAAGAGAACCCTGTATTGCAGATGATGATGATGGAATGAAAGGGAAGCAAAATGGTGAGATTAACTAGCCACAGGTTCCCCTAAAATCAGTCCTAACAAATTCCTTGGTGGGCAAGGGGGTTTGGGACAGTTTTGGAAGGAGAGGCCCAAGGTTTGAATTGATGAGCCTTGGAGAGAAGTCTCATTTTGATAAGTTCGGTTCCAACCACTAGAGAAGGCAAGAATGCCTAATATGATGGGGGAAGGGATGGAGAGAACTCAGGAAAAGCACTGAACACATGGAGGTTAGTCTAGCTCCACAAACGACTACCAGTGTGACCTCAACTTACTCAAATCAACAAGAGCTTTGATTGCCTCACCTTAACAACAAAGACGACAATGTTTATCCTGTTTGTATATACAACTTTTACACACATAATATAGATAAAAGTGTTTTTTAAAACCATGACCTTTCTCTCTGTCTCTCTCTCTCACTGTCCAATCTGTCAAAAAATAAAAATTAAAATTAAAAATTAAAAAAAAAAAAAAAAAAAAAAGGCCGGCGCTGCGGCTCACTAGGCTAATCTTCCGCCTTGCGGCACCGGCACACCGGGTTCTAGTCCCGATCAGGGCACCGGATTCTGTCCCGGTTGCCCCTCTTCCAGGCCAGTTCTCTGCTGTGGCCAGGGAGTGCAGTAGAGGATGGCCCAAGTGCTTGGGCCCTGCACCCCATGGGAGACCAGGAGAGGCACCTGGCTCCTGCCATCGGATCAGCGCGGTGCGCCGGCCGCAGCACGCTGGCCACAGCGGCCATTGGAGGGTGAACCAATGGCAAAGGAAGACCTTTCTCTCTCACTGTCCACTCTGCCTGTCAAAAAATAAAAATTAAAAAAAAAAAATTTTAAACCATGAGTTTTTTAAGGTTTATCTCATCTTCTCCCCCATCTTACAAAACCTGACCTCAGGGCTGGCGCTGTGGCATAGTAAGTTGAGCCTCTACCTGGGGCACCAGCATCCCATTTGAGTACCAGTTCATGTCCCCACTGCTCCTCTTCCAATCCAGCTCCCTGCTAGTGGTCCTGGAAAGCAGTGGAGAATGGCCCAAGTCTTTGAGCCCCTGCACTCATGTGGGAGACCTGGAAGAAACTCCTGGCTCCTGATTTCAGATCGGTGTAGTTGTGGCCTTTGCAGCCACTGTGACCATTTGGTGAGTGAATCACCGGATGCAAGATCTCTCTCGGTAACTCTGGCTCTCAAATAAAAAAATAAATAAATCTTAAAAAAAAAAAAACTCGACCTTATTTTCATAAGTAACATAAATGACCTTTACACTGTTCCTGTTGCCCTCCTGGTCCTCACCTCTCTCCTCTACCCCCACTGCTGAACCCCAAGCAAGACAACATCTGGACAACTGCATCTCAGTCTCTAACTCCTCCTGGCACGCTGGAGACTGGGGCCCACTTCACCACCATAAAGCACAGCTACAGTCATCCCTGGCTCCTAGGGCTTCCATAATCTCACAGTTTCTACAAGAGGAGGCACCCCAACCCCAGGTCAGAATGCAGTCAAGGCCACCCGCAGCAGTTTCTCTCACCTTCTTTCCCAACATATCCCTTTTATTTCTCTTTAAGTACTAGACAGACAGAGCAGACAGATTAGACAACATAATATTCCATATAGAGCTTTCTAATGGTTTTTCTACCACCTCCCCTTATTTAATGCTCCTCTACGCAAATAAGATGCTCCCATCTGTTCTTCGCCAACTGAAATCTTCCAGACCTTTCCACACCCTTACCTACCTGCTTCACCCTAAACCCAAAACCCTTCCCTACAGATTCATTCTCTAAAGCTGACAGGAAACTTTAAGCACTTTTTTTTCCTTTTTTTTAAATAAATAATTTTTTTAAAGATTTTATTTATTTGACAGCTAGAGTTACATATAGTGAGAGAGAAAGGTCTTCCTTACGTTGGTTCACTCCCCAAATGGCCACAACGGCTGGAGCTGTGCCAATCCGAAGCCAGGAGTTTCCTCCTGGTCTCCCATGTGGGTGCAGGGGCCCAAGCACTTGGGCTATCTTCTACTGCTATCTTAGGCCACAGCAGAGAGCTAGACTGGAAGAGGAGCAACCGGGACTAGAACCGGCACCCATATTGGGTGCCAGCCCCGCAGGCGGAAGATTAACCTAGTGCGCCATGGCGCCGGCCCCAACTTTAAGCACTTTAACACTGAAATGTGTTCTAGTGCCATTTATCACATTTTACCTTTCTTTGAACAGTCACTGATCTATTTACCCCCCTTCTTCTAGATCATTAGAATCCCCACAGCAAGACTGTATCAGAGATGACTTTCCTACAGCCCACTCTTGGTTGAGATGGGACTGAGACTGACAGTGTGTGGTCACAAGATGTCCACAAACTCCTGTGACACAAGGTCTAAACAGAATGTCCACAAATACAATTAGTGTCGCACTCTCACCTCCACCTTAAAAATGCAGAAAGATACAGGTTACCCCACATGGTATCAGCATCCCCTGAAAGACCTCTGGGGAAGTTCACGTCTTTACTTAGCCTATAAACCGAGAGAGAAAACCTAGCCTGGGCAGATGTACACAAGATTCCCAGCAAGCACACAGGTCTCATTCTTAGAACCCAGTGCCCAAGACAGTCCCTGCCTGGTATACAGCAGGGGACCAATACAGGAAACTTACCATGTTAACTATTTGAAAGCATACAACACAGTGACACTAAGCACACTTGCAATGCTGTATTACTATCCATCTTCAGGATTTTTAAATCATTTCAAACTGAAATTTTGTACCCATTAAATGCTACCTTTTCATTTCCCTTTGCCCAGCCCCAGATAATCACTAATCTACTTAATCTAATTTCTTTATCTATGAATCTGATTGTTCTCTAAATCTCATATTAGTGAAATCACATAATGAAGGCTCTTAAAAGATGGTTGGTGGGGCCAGCACTGTGATGCAGTGGGTTAAAACCCCAGCCTGCAGTGCCGGCATCCCATATGGGCACTGGTTCAAGTCCCGGCTGCTCAACTTCCAATTCAGCTCTCTGCTATGACCTTGGAAAGCAGCAGAAGATGGCCCAAGTCCTTGGGCCCCTGCACCTACATGGGAGACCCGGAAGAAGCTCCTGGCTCCTGGCTTCGGATCAGCGCAGCTCTGGCTGTTGTGGCCAATTGGGGAGTGAACCAGTGGGTGGAAGACTTCTCTATCTCTCTCTCTCACTCTCTCTTTGCCTCTCCTCTCTCTGTGTAACTCTTTCAAATAAATAAATCTTTAAATAATAATAATAATAAAAAGACTAAATACCCAACTAAAAGGTTAGAGGGGACAAGAACTAGCAGACTTTCTAACAGACTATTCTGTTTACCCAGTTCACTGCCAAAATAGGGAGAAGGGAGAAAATGTAAAGATGAGAAAGAAAAGCCACACTTGACTACCTACCCCCTTAAAAAGAGACACCGTGGAGCTTCTAGTTTATGATATGTAAATCCCTAAAGAATAAAAGATGCTCTGCGGGGCCAGCACCGTGGTGTAACGGGTAAAGCCGCCGCCTGTGGTGCTGGCATCCCACATGGGTGCTGGTTCAAGTCCCGGCTGCTCCATTTCCTAGGAGAGCAGTGGAAGATGGCCCAAGTCCTTGGGCCCCTGTACCCACATGGGAGACCTGGAAGAAGTTCCTGGCTCCTAGCTCCAGATCAGCTCAGCTCTGGCTGTTGTGGTCATCTGGGGAGTGAACCAGTGGATGGAAGACCTCTCTCTCTCTCTCTCTCTGGCTCTACCTATGTAACTCCATCTTTCAAATAAATAAAATAAATCTAAAAAAAAAAGAGAGAAAGAGATAGAGAGAGATTTAAAAAAAAAAAAAAAAAAAAAAAAGATGATGGCCGGCCTCCACTGTCGCTCTACAAAGCTATAAAGGATCAGGCAGATAATGGCATTCCCACAGGAGACTTTGAAGTAATAAAATAACTCATACATACTAACCAGTATAGTCATCAAAGTTGACTCTTCCTCTCATTGTGTTCACCACGGATTCCGGCTGCTCAAAAATTTCCTTCTGCATAAATGAACTGAAGTTGCCTAGAGCAATGGAAATTACATTAATGAAACAAAATTTAACAAACCAGAGAATAAGAAATTTGCATACTACAAAAAGTCTACCTCCAAAATAATCCCAGTAAATTAAAGGAAACAAAAGGCACTTTTATTTTATTTGCAGTTATAGTAAAACAGATAAATAAGACAAGCTCAAGTTCTGGAGTCAGATCTAGGTTTGTACTATAATTCTATCCTTTACTATCTATGCTGGGGAAATTCCTTAATCTGTGAAATAAAAATAGCAATTACTTCATGGTGTGGACTATGATATGGGTTAATAAAGCAATGAACATGATGTTATGCAATAACATCCTTTTATATAGCTTTTATTATATAGCTTTTATAGCTTTTATTCCAACCAAAGTCCCATCAGAAAGAAAGAGAATAAATATCAAAGACATGAAAATTATAATAGTTGGTAGCAGCAAACATTATGTGAAGTGCACTAAGTGTCAAACACTGTTCTACAGGCTTTAATATACAGCCCTCTTAATCTTCAAAACAACCTTAAAGACGAAGGTTCCATAATTCCCATTCTATATTAGAAAACTAAAGCATACAGATAATGAGAGAGGAATAAGGAACAAAATACAAACTGTTTATCAAATATCTTAAAAATATCATGTAGTATCGGGGCCAGCGCCATGGTGCAGGCTTGTACTCCATCTATGGCGCCGGCATCCATATGGGTGCCATATGGGCACCGGTTTGAGTCCTGGCTGCTCCTGTTCCAATCCAGCTCTCTGCTATGGTCTGGGAAAGCAGTACAAGATGGCTCAAGTCCTTGGGCCCCTGCACCCACGTGGGAGACCCAGAAAAAGCTCCTGGCTCCTGGCTTCAGATCGGCACAGCTCTGGCCATTGCGGTTATTTGGGGAGTGAATCAACAGAAGGAAGACCTTTTTCTCTGTCTCTCCCTCTCGCTGTCTGTAACTCTACCTCTCAAATAAATAAACAAAATCTTTAAAAATAAAATCATGTAGGGGCTGGTGCTGTGGCACAGTAGGTTAATCCTCCAGTTACAGCACTAGCATCCCATATGGATGCTGGTTCAAGTCCTGGCTGTTCCTCTTCCGATTCTGCTCTCTACTATGGTCTGGGAAAGCAGTAGAAGATGGCCCAGGTGCTTGGGCCTCTGCACCCATGAGGGAGAACCAGAAGAATCTCCTGGCTCTTGGCTTCGGATCAGTGCAGCTCTAGCTGTTGAAGCCATTTGGGGGGTGAACCAGCACTTGGAAAACCTTTCTCTTTGTCTCTCCTTCTCACTATCTATAACTCTACCTTTCATATAAATAAATAAAATATTTTATAAAAAAATAAAATAAAATCATGTACTATAAAATAGGGGATCTCATTTTTTATAATGTCAGAAATAAACAACCATGAATTACTTTGAGATTTGAGTCCCAGCTGCCCCACTTCTGATCCAGCTCTCTGTTATGGTCTGGGAAAGCAGTAGAAGATGGCCCAAGTGCTTGGACCCCTGTACCGAGTGGGAGACCCAGAAAACGTTCCTGGCTCCAGACTGGCCCAGCTCTGGCCACTGTGGCCATTTGGGGAGTGAACCAGCAGATGGAAGAACTCTCTCTCTCCCCCTCTAACTCTGCCTTTAAATTAAATAAATAGATCTTTAAAAAAAATAATCATCCCTGATCCTGGGGTTGTCTCCTCACTAATCATGTGGAAGACTGCCCTCAGCACCATAATTAGACTCACTAGCACAGAAGTAGAATGGCTCCCTTCCTTTATGTCAGGGTGGAGGACTTTTTTCTGCCAAGGGCCATTTGGATATTTATAATATCATTTACAGGCCATGTAATTTATCAACTTAAAAACTAGCCTGCTATATAGATTTATTAAATTTCAGGTCCCACCTTGTGGTTGCCTGGGCAGGGCCATACCTAATGCAGCCTGTGTGGACTGGACATTCTCCAGCCCTGAGAAAGGACACTAAGCTGTAACATGACAAAAAACGTTCACCCTTCATGATCTGCTGGAGTTCCATCTGCAGGGTTTGCACAGCTCGTCCAGGGTGATCTCCTGCAGTCCGTTTAATTCGATGGATAGAAAGACGGCCATCCACCACTGCTGCGACATCATCATCTTCTAGAAAGATGACGCGGTTGGTATGTTCTATGACAGCACTACAAAATATTCAAGGATATATTACCATAAATAATCAAGGATCACTGTTAAAAATTAAACTATCATTAGAAGACAAGGACCAAATTTAAATGTAAACTCCATCATCCTGCAGTATCCTGCAGATGACTTTCTGGTCATTAACACCAGCCCCTTCAGGGAGTGGGGGGAGGTAGTCACTGCAAACAATAAAGGGAAAGATCTCTGTGCAGTGAGCTAAACCAAATCAGGTTAGATCAGAAAGCATAACCATTCCCTTCTCATTCCATCCATCACTAAATCCTAACATTTCACATACTAAACATTTCTCAAAGCTTCTCTCCATGTCCATCACCACAAACCAGTTCAAGCTGCCGTCAGCTCTTTGACTGGACTACTACAGAACATAATATGTCCACCACCTTCTCTCCTACCTCCCTCTATCCATTCTCCATTTCTACCAAAATGGTTATCAAAAGGCAACTCCAATCAAAATTCCTCCCTCACCCAGCATGCCATTTGATAGCTTCCCTTTGGCTCTAATGAAAATAATCAAATGCCTTATCCTGACCTCTATCTCTGTTCCAATCTTCCTATCCAAACTTCCTATTTTCTATTCCAGCCACACTCACACCCATTCCAAACACTCATTGGCTAACCCACTGAGACCAAATGTTCTTCCCTCCACTTCTTCATAGTTCCTAAACTCTCCTTAAAGGCACTTATCCACAAGAAGGTAAATCACCCTGTTGTAAGTGTTCTGTAGCTCTTGTCACAGCTGGAATTCTACACTTATATGATTATTGTTTCTAACTTATCTCCTTCATTAAAGAAGAGCTCCTTAAAGGCAAGCAGTATTTTTATTTTCTCACCACAGTCTCCTGAGTTAGCTAATGGCTTTGCTCAGAGTGTTTAATGTGAATACATGAATGAATGAAAGATGGGTGCTATTTTTCTGCAACTCCCAGTTTATTTAAGCATAACTGTCATCTTTGTAACAAATCTACCTTATGCCAGCAATGACCCATCTGAGCACTGACTACACATCTTACCTCTCCACAGAAATTGAAAATAGAGAAGCTTATTTGCTTGCTGAGAAATAACATTCCCTGAAATCCAAAATGGCATCATCTTCTCATTTGGATTATTTTCTCTTATTTACTCAAATATCTGTTGGCAATTTGAGTGAACCCATTTTACCCTCATTCCTATTAGCATCTCATTTATACATGCATCTAAAAATCTGTTGCATTTTCTCTCAAAAATGTCTTAACCTAGTACTATTCTTTTATAAAAGTGATTAAGCTACAATTAACGCTAAATGTAAAACATATAAGTATTCACATTAGAGTATAATTCTAATGTTTTAGCAACAACAATAATGCCCCCCCCAGATAGTAACTGGACAGTAAAAATACTATAGACACTACTTTTTTCCTGTACATGCCTAGGAAAAAGTTTGATAATTAGGCATGGTAAGAGATCACAACTAGTAATAAAATACAACAATTTAATATAATAAAACTGATTTATAACAAATTCATTTCCAAATATTTTTAAAATTTATTTGTAATTGACATATAATAAGCATACATATTTACAAAGTACAGTGTGGTATTCAAAACATGTATACAATGTGTAATGATCAAATCAGGGTAATTAGTATCTCCATCTCCTCAAGTATTTGTCATTTCTTTGTGTTTAGAGCCTCCAACCCCTATCTTTTTGTTCTTCATGAAACATATTTCTAAGTTATTGTTATCTACAGTTGCCCTGCTGTACTGTAGAACATTAGGACTTTTTCTTCCAACTTAACTGTGTTTTGGTATACATTACCTACCCTCTCTCTATCCTCCTATCCTTCTCAGCTTCTACTAAAATGTATGACTTCTTCCTAGAACTTTCCATTTAATATTGTCAGACCTTGGCTGACTACAGGTAACTGAAACTGCAGAAAGTCACGCCACGGATGAGGGAGACTACTGAACACTGTAACTCGTAGGATGTTAAAACCTTCTACTCTGCAGTCGAAATCTCTCTCCCTACAAACCTGGTGAGGCTTCTGAAAGAAAAAAAAAAAAAATATTCAGAGCCCTAATGTGAACACACTGCGACTGGAAGGGCCTCAGGAATAGATGCTCTTGTGACCTGCGTGGTTTACAGTAAGAGAAGGTGGTGTTCTAGCCCATCTCCAAATGGGTCGCCTGCACTTGCTTGACTTAGCAAGTTCTATTACTAGATTGACACAGATGACTTCTTGGCCCCTATACCATGGAAAGTTTTACAAAACATTCTCTTTGAATCAACTAAGGACACTTACCTTGCATCAGAAGCAAAGTAATATTCCACTGCTTTTTCTTCAACAGGGAAAAGGCAAGTTGTGCTGTCCACACGAGAGAGATTGCAGCTCCCCTTCTTGTCTTTGCCTAGAGCATCCAGTTGACATGAATCAGCAAATGCAGAAGATCATGAATACAGAAATATACGTAACTTTTATAAAACCAACAAAAAAATTATAGCAACACAAAATAATTTCAGCAACTTTAAAATGCCAGGTAAATCACTTTATTTCCATGCAATAAGCCAATAAAAACAGACAGAAAAAGTAGAGTGAAACAGCAACTATCATGAGTGCATGGCAGATAATAGTGCTATATTATTAACTTTTTTTCATTAAAAACTTCTCTATGTAATATGTATTTGCCAGGTAAAAGTAAACTATTTTGTGAATATTATTTTTAACTGAAAGTATATACAGACTAGTCTTTGATTTTTTAATTTTTCTAAAAAAGATTTATTTATTTATTTGAAAGGCAGAGTGATAGAGTGAGAAAAAGAAGGAAACAGAGAGAGAGAAATATTGCTGGTTCATTCCCTGAATGGTCACAACAGCCAAAGCTGAAGCCAGGAGCCAGGAACTCCATCCGAGTCTCCCATGAGGGCAATGGGGCCCAGATACTTGAGTCTTCATCCACTGTCTTCCCAGGTGCCTTAGCGGTAAGCTGGATGGGAAGCACAGTAGCCAGGACTTGAACCGAAAAGCAGTGTCTTAACCCACTGCACTACAAAATGCTGGCTCCATACAGACTATCTAAATTTAACTTTATACAAAACTTGATGGACTAACCCATGTAAGTTGGGTGTACCTATACTTATCACCCCCAAAAAAATACATTTAAAATATCAAAATTGTGCAAGGAAAAATAAAGACTAATGGCAAACTGATCATCTCCTAAAAAAAAATCTCTAGATTTTAACAGCAAATCAGCATAACAAATGAAGTTGTACTCTTCACTAATTCTGATTTAAAGACAAAGATACATAATACATTCTATCTGGTATATCATATGTGGCACTAACAGCTAGAGACAAGGATTACTATAAAACAGGAGTATCTGTTTACTGAAAATTAGGTTTTCTTATATTTCTTTTAAGCTAGAATTAAGGTCACTCCTTTTACAATAATTTTTTTTAAAGATTTATTTATTGATTCGAAAGTCAGAGTTACACAGAGAGAAAGAGAGAGAGAGAGAGAGAGGTCTTCCATCTGATGGCTCACTCCCCAATTGGCCACAATGGCTGGTACTGTGCTGATCAGGAGCAAGGAGCCAGGAGCTTCCTCCGGGTCTCCCATGCGGTTGCAGGGAACCAAGGACTTGGGCCATCCTCTACTGCTTTCCCAGGCAACAGCAGAGAACTGGATTGGAAGTGGAGCAGTCGGAAGTGGAGAACCGGTACCCATAAGGGATGCTGGTGCTTCAGGCCAGGGCGTTAGCCCACTGCACCACAATGCCGGCCCCTTTTTTTTAATTTTAGCATTTCAAAATCCTGGTATCTCTAGTTAATAATTATCAAGTCACTGATGAATAATTTTTCTTTTTGCTCAATCACAACTAAAATCAAACCTGGAAAGCATACTGAATTTTGTCAAATTAGTCAAATATACAAAAAAATCGATTAGCTGAAATCTATATAAATGTCCCAGAGACAAAAAAGCATTTTTCTCTAAGGCCAGAACACAGCAGTTCTTACAGACACAATAGCCAGAAAATATTATAAATCCATTTACAAAAATTCTATACTGTATCTATCCTCTAAAATGCATATGTAAGGTCTTGGTAATAATTATTCTTAAAAATGTACATCCAAAGTTCTCCACCATTTGTGATTATTTGGTATATTTTGGGCATGAAAAGAAAATAGCTCTTCCCATCAAAAAACAGTAGTGAAGATTCTGGACTTTAAAAAGCAACTGTAAGATGACACCTCAAAAAAGGTGACACTCCAGAAAAAATCACAGATCAGTGTTTGCTTGGGCTAGGAATAGAACAAGGAAAAGAGTACAAAAGGAAGCTTGAGGGAACTTTCTTAGGAATGGAACTGTTGGGTATCTTGGTAGTGAGAGTGCTTATACAACCACTTTTGTTTGACAAAACTCATGAAAACTGAAAAACTGGCAAAGAGTAAATTTGGGAAGTGGGTATTTGGCTTAGCAGTGAAGACACTGGCCAGGACATCTATGTCCCACATCAGAGAGTCTAGAAGTTCAATACCCAGCTCTGCTCCTGAATCTACTTCCTACCAAGCAGACTCTGGGAGGTGGAGGTGACGACTCAAACGACTGAGTCCTGCCACCCACATAGGAGGCCTGAGTTGAGTGCATGGCTCCTAGCTTCAGCTCCAGCCAAAGGTCACTGCAGGCTGGGAAAGTTAACCAACAGATGGGACCCTACCCCTTCTCTCTCAGCCTCTCTGTCTTTCTGCCTCTCAGAATAAATACATTTTTTACTGTATCTAAAAAAAGGGGGAACTAAAAATAGGTAAAAGCACCTATATTTTTAAAATAAATAGAACTAGCTTTTGTCATAAAATGTCCTAATTGGGTTTAGTTTCATTCCAAATAATTGATAATTTTATACTTCAAGTAACAAAATATATTTAATTAAAATATTTAAAAGATTTTGAGGTATCACTGCCTATTTAAATGAACACCATTACCTGACACCAGTACAATCTACAAAATATTATCCTAGGCCGGCGCCGTGGCTCACTAGGCTAATCCTCTGCCTGCAGGGCCGGCACCCCGGGTTCTAGTCCGGGTTGGGGCGCCAGATTCTGTCCCGGTTGTTCCTCTTCCAGTCCATCTCTCTGCTGTGGCCCAGGAGTGCAGTGGAGGATGGCCCAAGTCCTTGGGCCCTGCACTCGCATGGGAGACCAGGAGAAGCACCTGCCTCCTGGCTTCGGATAGGCGCAATATGCCAGCCGTAGCAGCCATTTGGGGGGTGAACCAACGGAAGGAAGACCTGTCTCTCTGACTGTCTAACTCTACCTGTCAATAAATAAATAAATAAATTATTATCCTATGTATAGACTATCTCATTTGACTTGACCTGAATGGAACACAGGTGAATAGCCCTGTCCCATAGACAACAGACTTCATTTTGTCAGTGGCCACATCTAGAGCACACAGAAGCTTGAAAGCTAGTCCAGAGTTCTCTCCTTTACAGCGCATCTTCAGTAATAGACTATTCCTTCTAAGGAAACTTCACTGAGCTACACATTACCTACACAGTAATAGCTAGAAAATTAAGGACTCAAACACAGTGCTTCATCTCAAAAAGCTCTAACTCACACTGACAATTTTTCCTCCAACTTCCTAAGGTCTTAGTCAATGTTTTTCCATTATTTCTAATAGTAGCCCAAGACAACATAAAGGTAATGTCAAAGATAATTTGAGCAGAATTATTGACAAAATATAATAATATATATTTTTAACAATTTATTTATTTGAAAGTCAGAATTAGAGTATAATAAATCTATATAAATATATATTACTTATATATAATATAATATGAGCAGAATTATTAACAAAATCTGGAACTCTGAACAAAGTCTATGTTCTCTTTGAAGATAAGTTTTGAAAAGAGGAGATGGGATGAGAAGAAATTCTCACCTCTTAGGATTGAAGGTTGTTTACAGAAATAACTTTCTGCTCTGGATAAAATGGTGAAAGCAGTCACCATCCAAAGATAGATAGGCTTTAAGTACTTTGCTGAACATTTTTCAAGAAACCAAGAATTACATATTAATAATATGGGTTTCAACTTCATGAGCCTATTACTCCCTCTCTTTCAGATAGAAAGCTTTTAGTAATAAGTAAAAAGAGTACACAGTTCTGTTTTTTTTTTCTATGTAATTATATCAATAAAATGATCTAGAAATTGTGTAGCTGAAAGTCCTATTAGAAAAGAAACTTCAAAAATGAACAAAAACACAGATTCCAAATTCAAATAAAGCCAATCAAGATATTACATGTCATGTGTAAAATAAAATGTCATGCAAAAAGACTACTTAAACATTTTTCAGTTAAAAGTTAACCTAAATTATTCAAATAATTAGCATTTAGTTCAATCTGCAATAACCTAGCATACAATGCTTTTTTGCTAACCTAAGCATGTATCCTACGTGATTTTAAAACAAAGAAAAACAAACTTTACAATTTCAACTATTTTCTCAAATCTGAGATTTTAATGAAACAAATTATTAAAAGCAGTTTTCTAAATGGCAAAAGCAGACAGACAAAATATACTCTGCAAATTAGAAAAATAATGTGAAAATATATTTCCCCATAAAATAAGCATATTTTTAGAGGCCCAGCACATTCATTCACTCCAAGAACAAAGAATTAGTACCGAACAAACAAAAGAGGCTAAAATTCCTCCCCATCCATGCAGAGTGCATTTCCCACCTCTTTCTCCCTGTGATCCCCACCGTGTGTATTTTGATCCAATCTGAGTCCTAGCTAAAGATATACAACAGAAAAAAATTCTACTTGTCAGAGAACTCACAAAAACAAATCTTCCCACGTCCAGACAGAACTATATATGCACGAGGATCTGACCAAAGGGGCATTTATTCCAACATAAGGGAGATCATTTTTATATCTACTGCACTCAAGTTGTACATTCTCCCCATGGCATGATGTAGCAGTCATTTTACCTGTTCTGTACAGTATTGGAATGTGATCAGTAGAAAGTTTATGTTCACTCCGTACACCAATCAGCAGAGGGCTACCTCGCCTGTAAATGCAAAATCAATCAAAATTAAACCATTTTAATAATGGTTAATTATTAACCTTTATTTAATTAAAATAATTATTTTAATAAATAATGTACTAACAATATAAAATTTAAATTTAATGAGCCAACTCTCTTCAAACAATGTTTAAATTTTCCCTCCAGGGACGGCTACTGTGGTACAACAGGTTAAGTCTCCCAAATCCATATAGGACTCCCAAATCCCATATTGGGGTGCTGGTTCAAGTCCCAGCTAATCTGCTTCTGATCCAGCTTCCTACAAGGCAGCAGAAATGCTTGGCCCCCTGCCAACCACGTGGGAGTCCCAACTGGAAGTCTGGGAGCCTGGCTTTGTCCTGGCTTAGTTCTGGTTGTTGTGGGTATTTGGGAAGTAAACTAACACTCACCCAATTTAAAAGTCACCACTGTCCATGCAACCAAGGTTACTCAATAAATATGCTTAGTAGGTGGAGGACAGAATTAGAAAAAAAATCTCATGCTTAGTATCAATATCTTCTCTCTCTCTCTCTCTCTGTCTCTGTTATGCTCTTTCAACTAGATAAAAATTAATAAACATTAAAAAAAAAACCTCTTAAAATTCTTCCTCCTAATTCAACTTCAGATACACAAAAGAACTGTATTCAGAAACTAAGACCCATAGGCCAGGCTATCTATTTTTGTAAATTAACTTTTTTATCATTATTGTTTCTTTTAATCAACAAATTAAAACTGTATCAAATAATGTTTTATTGAAATGCACCAGGCCCATTTTTTTACATATGTTCTATAGTTGCTACCACAGTGTATCAGGAAAGTTTAGAGAGGTTAAATGGTATTATCTAGCCCATATCAGAAAAACTTTGCCAACCCCTGTTCTATACCAATGCATTTAAAATTTTTTTCCTTTTTAATACAAATGGATACTCTTAATTGCACACAGAATACCAACGCATGAATGTTTAACAACTTGGCCTCTGTCAGCTATCTTCAGCTTTAAGGTATCTCTCTTTTACCAGATCTTAAGGAGCCTCACCACTCTTCAAAGTACTTCATAATCAGGCCTAAATACCCAAGCAAAAGTAGTGATGCTACAATTATCTAGGAATCTGCCCACAGTTAAGTTTCCAAAGAACAGAAAGATAATGTTTGGGGCCTGAAATTAGAAAATATCCAATAAGCAAATTCATAAAACATGCCAATCCCTGCCAGAGACAAAAGGCCAATTATAAATGCCAAAATGGACTTGTTTTATTCAGGGATTCTGATAAATGGAAGAGTGCTAAATCCACAGATGAGAAAGGGCAGACCCTTTACAGAAAAGGGTCATGTACAGTATACAGAGAATAAACTTGTAGCTCAAATATTTCAAAAAATGTGTTAAGTATCAGTCATTATTAGATTTATATGTACCTTGTGCCAACTGCTTGTCCAGGAAAATGAACGCTTTTAAACACAAGCGCAAAAGCACCCTCCTATGGAGAGAAAAAAAAATGCATTACCAATATTTATTATAATCAATTATCAAATGTGAAACGTCAAAAACATACTTGCCTCAGCAAAGAAGCTTTTTGTTCACACAGTGCTCTTTTGCATTACTTTCTTAACAGGTGTAAATTTTAGGTACACACTCCTGAGCTTTGGTACAAACAAGATTCAATTTTTTAAACCAAGCCCACTCTCAAAATACAAGTATGCTCAACAGATAATAGCTACAAAAACAGACCACTTTTTTTTAAAGCTTATTTATTTTTATTTATTTGAAAAAAAGAGTGAGAGAAATATCTTCTATCTGCTATCCAGGATCCTGGAACTCTATCCAAGTCTCTCTTATGGGTGTTAGGGGCTCAAGTACTTGAGCTTCCTCTCAAAATATGCATTAACAGGAAGGTAGATCAGAAACAGAGTACCCATACGGGATGCAGGCATCCCAAGGGGTGGCTTAACTCACTCTGCCACAACACCCACTCTCAACCATTTAATTTATCACTATGTACATGTTACCAAGACTTCTCAGCAGACTTTTTTTTTTTTTTAATTTGACAGGTAGAGTTAGAGAGAGAGAGAGAAACAGACAGAGAGAAAGGTCTTCCTTTTTCCATTGGTTCACCCCAAAATGGCCGCTATGGCCGGCGCTGCACGGATCCAAAGTCAGGAGCCAGGTGCTTCCTCCTGGTCTCCCATGCGGGTGCAGGGGCCCAAGGACCTGGGCCATCCTTCACTGCCCTCCCAGGCCACAGCAGTGAGCTGGACTGGAAGAGGAGCAACTGGGGCTAGAACCCGGAGCCCATATGGGATGCCAGCACCACAAGGGGAGGATTAACCAAGTGAGCCAGGGCACCAGCCCCAGCAGACATCTCTTAGACTATGAACTAGTTACGGTAGAACAGAATTAGAAAGGATCCCAAGCTCAATATCTAAAACTCATTCTGTGCCCTCGTAGTTATATTCCATTTATATTATATATTCCATTGTTATATTCCATTCTTTTTGACCTTGACATCAGAAATATAACTATACAAAACCACAGTCATTACCATGCACACCATACCACCCCATCAACCCAACCTCTTAGAGGACAAGGCCTAAGGAAATCAAGAATGGGTTAAGAAAGAAAACGAGTTAAGAAAGGAAGACACAAACTGGATTACAAAACAAAGAGAACGGAAAACCAAGTAGAAACTAGACAATGCTTGGAAGGCACACTACTCTGATGTGGCTAAAGAGAAGGCACTGGCCTTTACATTCTGCAGCTCCCTACCTCCTTCTGCTGCAGCCATCACAAGACTCGGATGCATGTGGGAGTTGAGGGTTATACCTTATTAGGAAAGTAAAGAGCTTTTAAATGGAAACATTATGCGGCCAGCATCATGGCACAGCAGGTTACACTGCCACTTGAGATGGCGCATCCCATATCAGAGTGCTAGCTTGAGTCCCAGCTGCTCCACTTCTAATACAGCTTCCTGCTGATGCATCAGATCAACAGAGGGAGGCAACGGATGAGGGCTCAAGTACTTGGGCTCCTGTCACCCATGTGAGAGACCCAGATGGAGTCCCAGGCTCCTGGCTTTGGCCTGGCCCAGCCCTGGCTGCTGAAGGGATTTGGGGAACAAACTAACAGATGGAAGATCTCTCTCTTTCTCCCTCTCTGTTTCTCTGTCTTCCAAGTAAAAAAAATAAACATTACAAAAAAATAATGGGAAAACTAGTGTTATGAGTAGAGGTGGGAACAGACATCACTATGAACTTAGAATTTTGTGGATCTTTAATGTCTTCAATCTTTAATTCTGGCAACTGAGATGGGATGAGAAAATTGTTTTTCTCTTGGGATGGAAAATACTTTTCTGTACAAATACTTTTCTGAGCCAAGGAGGAGTCACCAAAAGGAAAAATAAGGAGTAGGTTAGGCTGGTTCAGAGACATGCAGGTATTATACCAGAGTTTTTAGATAAACCTCAATTTTGGATTAGTTTTCATTCCCATGACACTAAATTATAGTGAAATAAGTAGAATTTTAAGTGCATGTGGGTGAATAAGTTACATAATCGTTATTAAAGGTGAATAGTTATATATATGGAAAAGAAAAGCTAAAAATACTCAGGAAATTAGCACAGCTCCTGCTTATGAAACTTAATTTCAATAAAATTTCTTGTAATTAACATTGTCATGATTATGTTTTAAAATGTAGTTTAATACCAGTTGTTGGATAACTCTCTCCACCAAGGTAGTAAAACTGATATCTTGACTTTCCCGATTGTCGTACATATACTTAACAAGCTTGGCAATTGTCTCTGTGTCTGTTTCAGATTCAAAGTCATAGCCTTTGCTCTCCTGTAAGTAGAAAGAAAAAAAAAATGGCACACTTAAGGAGATATTCATGATATTCAAATATATCCCACAAAACCTTTTCCCTGAAAACTCATTAAATTTTTTTTTTTTTTTGACAGGCAGAGTGGACAGTGAGAGAGAGAGACAGAGAGAAAGGTCTTCCTTTTGCCGTTGGTTCACCCTCCAATGGCCGCCGCGGCCGGCGCGCTGCGGCCGGCGCACCGCGCTGATCCAATGGCAGGAGCCAGGTGCTTCCTCCTGGTCTCCCATGGGGTGCAGGGCCCAAGAACCTGGGCCATCCTTCACTGCACTCCCTGGCCACAGCAGAGAGCTGGCCTGGAAGAGGGGCAACCAGTACAGAATCCGGCACCCCGACCGGGACTAGAACCTGGTGTGCCGGCGCAGCAAGGCGGAGGATTAGCCTAGTGAGCCGCAGCGCCAGCCAAACTCATTAATTTCTAATATTTTTTGAACATCATATCCCATTACCCATTGTCTAAAACTAAGAACACCATCTGATTATAGTGAACCCAAAAGCATGGTATTCTATGAAATGAAACATTCACTTAAATATAATTCGGGGCTGGCATTGTGGCACAGAAGGTTAAGCTACTGCCTGCGACCATATTAGCACTTCTTTAAGGGCCAGCTGCTCCATATCCAATCCAGCTCCCTGCCAATGTACCTGCGAAAGCAGTGGAAGATGACCCAAGTACTTGGGCCTCTGCTGCCCATGTGGAAGCCCCGAATATAGTTAAGCTCCTGGCTTCATCCTGGCCCAGTCTCAGCTACTGCAGCCATTTGGGGAATGAACCAGTGGAGAGAATATATCTCTCTAACTAAAAACCTTACATAAATCTATATATGCCACATATGAATAAATTTTAAATGAGAACACACAAAATACTAATACAATGAATATAATGATTTGCTTTGATAATAATACTTCAGTATCCAATAAAATACCCATTAACTGTGTGTGCCTTTTTAAATTCAGTTAAAATTAAATAATATTAGAGCTGGCACTGTGGCATAGCAAGTAAACACACCACTACCTGCAGTGCCGGCATCCCATATGGGCACTGGTTCGAGTCCTGACTGATCCACTTCTAATCCAGCTCTCTGCTGTGGCCTGGGAAAGCAGTAGAAGATGGCCTAAGTCCTTAGGCCCCTGCACCCGTATGGGAGACCCAGAAGAGTTCCTGGCTCCTGGCTTCGGATTGGCGCAGCTCCGGCCGTTGTGGCCAATTGGGGAGTGAACCAGTAGATGGAAGACCTCTCTCTCTCTGTCTCTCTGTCTCTCTGTCTCGCCTCTCTGTATAACTCTGACTTTCAAATAAATAAATCTTTAAAAAAATTTTAAATAATTTCGTCCCTCAGTCCTATTAATTCAACTGTCCCTGTGGCAATGGCTACCTGCACTGAACAGCAGACAAACAGAATGTTTCCATCACTGCACACGGGTCAACTGCAACAGCCTGAGGGGGCACTCACTAAGGTCACCATTACCACCTACACAGTGTACAGCTACCGCAGAAAGCACACAGAGCCTTCACTTACTCCATCCTGACTCTTCTTACATATCCTAGAAGCTAACAACTGACAAATAGGATCATTAACAACATAAATGATGTCCCCCAAAATTCCTATTTTATTTGGTCTTTTGGTCACCAGTAATATAATAAAATCAAGTAATGATCTCCTGGGGCCGGCCGGCGCTGTGGCGTGGCAGGTAAAGCCGCTGCCTGCACTGCCGGCATCCCATATAGAGTCCTGGCTGCTCTACTTCTGATCCAGCTCTCTGCTGTGGCCTGGGAAAGCCATGGAAGATGGCCCAAGTCTTTGGGCCCCTGTACCCGCCTGGGAGACCTGGAAGAAGTTCCCGGCTCCAGGCTTTGGATCAGCCCAGCTCCAGCCATTGCAGCCACTGGGGAGTGAATATCATGGGATGGAAGACATCTCTCTCACTCTCTTTCTCTCTGCCTCTGCCTCTCTGTAACTCTGCCTTTCAAATAAATAAATAAATCTTTAAAGAAAAAAAAAAAGTAATGATCTCCTTTCCATAGGAGAAAGAATTATCCTATGTCAATAAAGAGAAGTCCAATATACCAGTCTTCTCTCAGAACTGCTCAGGAATTCTCTCATCATAATTACATGGTGCTACACATCCCAGCAAAAGGCCTCAGCACATCAGAAGTATCCCCAAGGACTGATGTCTTGAGGTCACTCTACTTACCAAAAACTTTTTCAAGTCTTTGTAGTTAGTGATGATTCCATTGTGAATAACAATAAATTCTAAACGAGATAAAAGTATGGATGACAAAAAATTAGAAGTCTGATAGATGCTGTAAATTGTTACTATTGTGAATAGGTTTTTCTCAGGTGAAAATAATATGCAGCATGCTGAAAACTTCCAGGTGTAATTAAGCATCAAGTATTTCTCATGAGGTTTTTAGCAACAAGTAGAGCAGCAGCATTGTTTATGCAGCTTAGCAGAAGCAAACAGTTCTAGGGAAGTGCAAACTGGGAGGAAATACAATAAAATCACAGCCTAGAGACATTAATTTCAGTTGTGGTTAAACCAATAACCCAGTGTTACCCTATGTAGGCAGCGTCTTTACAGGGCCTGAATCCTCATCTGCACAATGAAAGAGCTACAATAAATAGCTACTAATCTCATTTCTCTGTTCATTCATTCCTGAGTATCAGTCTAAAGAGAGGCCTGTCAAACCACAACAGTGATCCTCAATTATACTAGACAAATTTAAGAACTAAAATGGGGGCCAGCGTGGTGGTGCAGTGGGTTAAGCAGCTGCCTGTAACACTGGCATCCCATATGGGTGCTGGTTAGTGTTCCAGCTGCTCCTCTTCCATCCAGCTCCCTGCTAATGCCTGGAAAATGAAGAATATGGCCCAAGTACTGGGGCCCCTGCCACCCAATAGGAGAACCAGATGAAGCTGCTCACTTCAGCCTCGTCCAGCCCTGGCCATTGCAGTCATTAGGAGTATGAAAGATATCTTATCTACCTCTCTCTCTCTCCCCTCGTCCACCAATACTGTAACTCTGACTTTCAGATAAACAAACAGGTATTAAAAAATAAATAAATAAACTGAAGGCATTTACTAAGAAAAAGCCAACAGTTATTCAATCTACAAATTCCCTTGCTTGAGGTCCACATAATTCCTAAAATGTCACATAAATGAACATTAAAATATAATTCCAGGGGCCAGCATTGTGGCATACTTCGTTAGGCATCCACCTGTGACACTGGCACCCCCATATGGACACTGGTTTGTGTCCCAGCTGCTCCACTTCCAAACTAGCTCCCTGCTTGTGCACCTGGGAAAGCAGTGGAGGATGGTCCAAGGGCATGGGCCCACGCCATCCATGCAGGAGACCCAGACAAAGCTCTTAGCTTCCACTGGCAGCCACTTGAAGAATGTACCAGAATATGTAAGATCTTTCTGTCTCTCTCTCTCTGTAACTCTGACATACATAAATACATAAATCTACTATATGTAATTCCAATAGCAAATTATTCTTGGGAATAATTTTCATCTTTTATAATTAAATTCCTTTGAAAAAATGCAAAAATTGGATAATCAAGAGTTAATAATGCTATTATTTGCAGTCAACAATAGTATATACAAAACTACCAATGTGAGTTGCTTTAAGGCTCAGTTAACTCATGAGAAAAGTTATTACTAAATGTAATTTTACATTAAATTATCAAAATGTTTTTCCTTAGAGACCTGCATAGCAGGTTAAGACACTGCCTGAAATGCCAGCACCCCATATGGGTACAGTTTGAGCTCTGACTGCTCCACTTTCAATCCAGTTCCCCATTGATATACCTGGGAAAGCAGTGGAAGATGGCTCAAATGCTTGGTCCCCTGTACCCATGCAGGAGATATGGACAGAGTTCCAGGCTTCTTGCTTAAGCCTGTGTCAGCCCTGGCCACTAAAGTGATTTAGGGAGTGAATCAGCGGATGGAAGTGCTCTCGCTCTCGCTCTCTCTCTCCATCATTTTGCCTTTCAAATAAATAAATCTTTAAAAAATATCAAAAGGGGGGACAGCTTAGTGGGTGAAGCTGCTGTCTATAGTGCCGGCATCCCACATGGACACCAGTTTGAGAACCTGGCTGCTCCACTTCCAATCTAGCGCTCTGCTATGGCCTGGGAAAGCAGTAGAAGATGGCCCAAGTGCTTAAGCCCCTGTACCCATGTGGGAAGCCTGGAAGAGGCTTCTGGCTCCTGGCTTCAGATGGGCCAGCTCGATGTTGTAGACATTTGGGGAGTGATCCAGCAGATAGAAGATCTCTCTCTCTCTCTGCCTCTGCCTGTTAACTCTGCCTTTCAAGTAAATAAATAAATCTCTAAAACAAAAAATCAAAAAGGGAGTATACCCACATTATATATACATGCATATTCAAACATATGTATTTGCTTATTTTTTTTAAAGATTTATTTATTTATTTGAACGAGTTACACAGAGAGAGGAGAGGCATAGAGAGACAGAGAGAGGTCTTCCATCCGATGGTTCACTCCCCAATTGGCCGTAACAGCTAGAGCTGTGCTGATCCGAAGCTAGGAGCCAGGAGCTTCTTCCAGGTCTCCCATGTAGGTGCAGGGGCCCAAGGACTTGGGCCATCTTCTACTGCTTTCCCAGGCCATAGCAGAGAGCTGGATCAGAAGCAGAGCAGCAAGGTCTCGAACTGGCACCCATACAGGATGCAGGCGCTTTAGGCCAGGGCATTAATCCACTGTACCACAGCACCGGCCCCCGTTTACTTTTAAAGTTACTTTATTTCTATTTATTTCAAAGGTAGAAAGACAAAGAGAGGCAGAAAGAGACTTTCCATCCCCTAGTTGACTCTTCATATGCCCACACCAGGGGCAGGAGTTGTGGCATTGCAGGTTAAGCTGCTGCTTAAGACGCCTGCATTACGTATCAGAGTGCCAGTTCAAGTCCCGGCTGCTCCACTTCTGATCCAGCTCCCTGCTAATGTGCCAGGGAAGCAGCAGATGATAGCTCAAGTACTTGAGTCATTGCCTCCTTTGTAGGAGACCAGAATGGAGTTCCTGGCTTCTGGCTTCAATCTGGCCTAGCCCCAGCTATTACAGACATTTGGGGAGTAACCAACAAATGGAAGTTTGCTCCATGTCATTCTGCCTTTCAAATAATAAATAAATAAGTCTTTTTTTAAAAATGCCCACAATATTCAGGACTAGGCCAGGCTGAAGCCAGGAGCCCACCACTCAACATGGGCTTCCCACATTGGTGGCTGGGACCCAGCTACCACAGCCATCACCTGCTACCTCAAGGAAGCAGGAATTGGAAGCAGGGCCAGGACTCAAATCCAGATACTATGATATGAGATGCAGAGTCTTAACCACTGCACCAAATACTCGCCCCATTTGCTTAGGGAAAAACAGACCCCCAAAATTGGTTAAACGATATCTATAGGGACAGATGAAATAAGAGGAAGCAAAAGGATAGAATCTACATCCAGCTCTCTGCCATGGCCTGGGAAAGCAATGGAAGACAGCCCAAGTCCTTGGGCCCCAGCACCCATGTGGGAGACCTGGAAGAGCCCCTGGCTAGATCTCTCTCTCTCTCCCTCTTCCTCTCCCTCTCTCTCTCCTTCTCTGTCTTTATATTTGCCTTTCAAATTTAAAAAAACTAAAAAAAAAAAAAAAAACAAAAAAAAACAACGAAGTATTAATATGACACTGGTTAAATAAATAATTAAAATAATGAAAACGAAAGCGTCTTCCCTGTTCTCCCATCACCAGCCCTCGGCAATCATTCCAAAGCATGTAGAATCTATGCATACCATTATTTTTATCAGAGCGCTGTGGGTGGCTATTGACAGGATTGGGTTCTCCATGTGTTGCCCAACGGGTATGAGCTATTCCAAGGTGCACATCAAATTCTATATCCAAATCCATATCCTGTTGTTCTGAGAAAATAAAATGAAAAATTCCAATTTTAAATCATACTATAAGCTATATTTAAATATAATTACAATAACCCCATACTTTTCAACAGAGGACACATTCCAAGATCCCCATAGATTCCTGAAACCCCAGATAATACCAAGCCCTATATGTGCTATGATTTTTCCCTGCAGTATTACAATGCTGCTCACCTGGAATATACAAGAATTAAAACTAAACGTCAGGCATATAAATATTCAAAATAGTAATTAAAAGACTTAGAAGTTAATATAGCTGAAATATTTAGGGCAAATGGTTTCAATAACAACCGAAAGCAGTATATAAAGAACATACATTTGCTTTAAGTGTGACATATTAACAATTGGTAAACCTAGATGACATATATGTGGGTAATTAATGTATGAGTCTTTCAAATTTACTAGAGGGTTGAAATTTTTCAACCTCAAGAGTTGAAGACAAAAAAGTTAATGTAATTTTTAAAGTCTGTATTTTATTCTTGCCCGGAAAAAAATTATAATCATTCATATTAGACATGTAAAAATAAATTCATTTTCTTAATGCCACAAAACCTTATGACTGAAATTTCTCCTGTCTGCAGTGACTATAAACACATTTCACAACATAAACTGCAATTAAGGCAAACTTCCAAAATCAAACATGCTCTTCAAAACAGAACAACACTGTAAACATATGAGGTTACTGGGAAATAGGTGTAGGCAGACGTTCCTTTAAATTGAAGAGCAACTGAATCTTTTTTTTTTTTTTTTTGACAGGCAGAGTGGACAATGAGAGAGAGACAGAGAGAAAGGTCTTCCTTTGCCGTTGGTTCACCCTCCAATGGCCACTGCAGCCAGCGCACCACGCTGATCCAAAGCCAGGAGCCAGGTGCTTCTCCTGGTTTCCACATGGGTACAGGGCCCAAGGACTTGGGCCATCCTCCACTGCACTCCTGGGCCACAGCAGAAAGCTGGCCTGGAAGAGGAGCAACCGGAACAGAACCCGGCACCCCGACCGGGACTAGAACCCGGTGTGCCAGCGCCGCAAGAGGAGGATTAGCCCAGTGAGCCGCAGCGCCTGCCAGAGCAACTGATTCTTAACTTCTTTGCCCTATACGCCATCTCTTCTTGTCTCTTCCTCAACGAAAAAAAGGGACAGCTCTAGTTATTAACTAGTAATGCCCTCCTGCTAAAACCAGCTAACAAAGCTTATCAGAATTAGGTCTAAATTAACAGCAAACTGTTCAGAAGTCTAAACAGGAAAATCCACGCACTTTAACATATCACAGTCTTTAGCGATGTAGACTGACCAATCAAAGGTCTTTCTAAAACACAAGTTAGACCAAGAAACAATGCTGAAAATTTTATCCATTGCATAAAAAGTGGCTGGCTACCCTCCCACACATATGAATCAGCCTAAACCTTGTCACAAGGATTTATAAAAAGATTCTCCTACTCTAACATATACCCCAAGAACCATTTTCTCACAAGAAAAAGCCCCAACAGCCTTTCCTGGCACATGAGGCCTTTCATTATATGGTCTCCGCCCACATTTCCAACCTCATCATACTCCTCACATGCTCCTCAAAGCTCACAATAAACCTTTTACTTCTGGCCAGGTATTAAGGGCTTCCTACCTCTCTACCTACCACCGCAGCCCAAGCCACCACCATCTCCAACCTGGACTACTTCAACAGAAGCCTAACTGGTCTCCCGACAGTTGAGATTTTGCACACCAACCCAAGCAATCCTTTCAAAACAGAAGTGACACCATATCACCCCCTAGACAAAACTCCCAGTGGCGTCCCAGGATACATACGGTAAAACCCACCATCCCAAAGCCACCATCCTAAAGCCCCTTCATGGCCCTGTCCCCAGACACCTCTACAGCCTCATCTTCTCCAACTCCACCCCTCACCCCAGCCCCTGTGCTCTAGCCCCACTGACTCTCTGCCACAAACAGGCCAAGCCTTCACCAGGTCTTTGCATTTGGCATCCCTCTGCCTAGAGCCCCTTCCTTCAGATAATTACATCGTGTCTATAGGTCTGATCTGATTTCATCATCATTTTAAAAAAATCATCTATTATTTTTCACTTTATGTTTCTGTGTGGGAGCAAACTGTTGAAATACTTACTTAAGGTATACTAAGCTGATCTTCTGTATATTAAGATAATCGAAAATGAATCTTGATGTGAATGGAAGGGGAGAGGGAGTGGGAAAGGGGAGGGTTGTTGGTGGGAGGGACGGTATGGGGGGGGAAGCCATTGTAACCCATGAGTCGTACTTTGGAAATTTATATTCATTAAATAAAAGATAAAAAAAAAAAAAAAATTACATCGTGTCTGCTCAAATGCCACTTCCACACTTTTTCTTCACAGTACTAATCACTACCTAACATTATACTTGTGTTACTAGAAAGTAAACTCAGGCAGAGTGTGTGTCTGCTATGTCCTCAAGACATAAAAATATGTTGGTGTGTAACAAGTACTCAATAAATAGCCATTTTATTATTGAATCCTCATACCACTCTTTGAGAGGAGTATCAATGTTCTCATTTTACAGATAAAGAAACTGAGGTTCAAGGAGGTCACTGAATCTCATAGCCAACAGAAGTCAAAGCTATTAGTTAAAACTAACAGGAGGAAGAAACAGAATTAGAATCCAAGACAGTTTGACTCCAAAGCCCAAGATTAAAATCACAACAATAGGGGCCGGCGCTGTGGTGCATCGGGTTAAATCCCTGGCCTAAAGCGCCAGCATTCCATATGGGGGCTAGTTCGAGACCTGGCTGCTCCTCTTCCAATCCAGCTCTCTGCTATGGCCTGGGAAAGCAGTAATAGGATGACCCAAGTCCTTGGGCCTCTGCACCTCAATGGGAGACCCGGAAGAAGCTCCTAGCTCCTGGCTTCGGATTGGCGCAGTTCCGGCTGTTGCGGCCAATTGGGGAGTGAACCATCGGATGGAAGACCTCTCTCTCTCTCTCTCTGCTTCTCCTCTCTCTGTGTAACTTGTTCAAATAAATGAATAAATCTTTAAAAAAAAAATCACAACGATATACACTGCTGAACTACTACATACTGTCAAACCAGCTTCCATCAGAATTTGAGTTCTACAGAAGCAGTAATTTACCTTGACTCCTAAGAATTAAGAGGCTGTACAATTGCTGGCGCCACGGCTCACTAGGCTAATCCTCCGCCTAGCGGCGCCGGCACACCGGGTTCTAGTCCCGGTTGGGGCGCCGGATTCTGTCCAGGTTGCCCCTCTTCCAGGCCAGCCCTCTGCTGTGGCCAGGGAGTGCAGTGGAGGATGGCCCATGTACTTGAGCACTGCACCCCATGGGAGACCAGGAGAAGTACCTGGCTCCTGCCATAGGATCAGCGCGGTGCGCCGGCCGCAGCGCGCCGGCCGCGGTGGCCATTGGAGGGTGAACCAACGGCAAAGGAAGACCTTTCTCTCTGTCTCTCTCTCTCACTGTCCACTCTGCCTGTCAAAAAAAAAAAAAAAAAAAAGAGGCTATACAGCAGTAACATTTTTATCATGGCTCAATCAATCAACAAAATCATGCATATGGGGATAGGTATTGTGGCACAGCAGGGTAAGCTGCCACTTTGGACACCCGCATCCTGTATGGGAGTCCCAAGTACTCTAATACTCCAGCTTCTTATTAACACATCTAGGAAGGTAGCAGATCATGGCCCAAGAACTTGGGTCCTTGCCACCCACATGGAGTACTGGCTTCAGCCCAGCCCAGCTCTGACTGCTGCATGTATTTGGGGGTGAACCAGCTGAAAGATTTAATAAAATTTTTTAGGGACTGGCACTGTGGTCTAGCAGGTAAAACCACTGCCTGCAGTGGCGGCATCCCATATGGGCACCAGTTCAAGTCCTGGCTGCTCCACTTCCAATCCAGCTCTCTGCTATGGCCTGGGAAGCAGTGAAAGATGGCCCAAGTCCTTAGGCCCCTGCATCTGCATGGCAGGCCCAGAAGAAGCTCCTGGCTTCGGATCTGCTCAGCTCCAGCCATTGCAGCCATCTAGGGAATGAACCAGTAGATGGGAAACCCCTGTCTCTCTCTCTCTGCCTCTCTGTAGTTCTGCCTTTCAAATAAATAAATCTTAAAAATAAATAAATAAATAAATAAATAACTTTTTAAAAGGTATGTATATGTTGTTTCCTGGCTTAACTATGTTCAGAATATTTAAGGTGATCTGATAAACGACCTCCAAGAAATTAAGAATTACAGTTCACCTTTAATTAATAGGCTAATTCAAATAACGAAAACATTTCTTCAACTAGCTTATTTATGCTATAATTGAAGCAGTATCTTCCTGAACATGCTGGCAGGCAATACTGAAGACAGGCACAAGATTCTGTAAATTCAATGCATTTCAAATTCATGGTAATTACCATACCTATTTCACTGCTGCCTAAGGAACATTATCAAATGTCTAATAAGATAAAAATCATTGCTATGATAATGAGCAAAACAAACCTTCATGTAAAGTACATAAGTTAATCATGAGTTCCAGTACTTGACTGCTTCATTCATTGTTGGTCTGTTACCCTTCTTCTAAAGTCCTTTTGTCAACTTTAAACCTAGATATCCCTATCTTCAGTTCCTATCCCCTCTCTACACTGCCAAGCACTATGAAGAACATCACAAAATTCTGTGAAATGAGTCCCTTTCAAATTCACAGTAATCAGCTTATCCCTGTCACTGCTGCCATTTAAGAAACATGTATCCCTACTCCTCCATTAAGCCAATATCCCAGCAGTTCATCACATTTTTTCTATTCTTCTTAAGCTCTGATCCTACAGAGAGCCCCTCAATGTCCACTTTACTCCGCTTTATTTAGCTTTTCTTTTTCTTGGACTCCTAGTTGGTAACCTTCTCCAAAAAGGCTAACTGCCTACCTGATCTTCCTGAGCTACCAGCCTTTAATAATCTACTGTGTGGGGGCCAGCACTGTGGTACAGCAGTATGCCACCACCCGCAGTATCAGCATCCCACATGGCTGTCACTTTTGTGTCCCGGCTGCTTCACTTCTGATCCAGCTCCCTGCTAATATGCCTGGGAAAGCAGCAGAAGATGGTCCAAATGCTTGAGCCCCTGCACCTGCATGGGAGACCAGGTAGAAGCTCTTGGCTCCTGGCTTCATATCGGCTCCAGCTGTTGTAGCCAACTGGGGAGTGAACCAGCAGATGGAAGACCTTTCTCTCTCTCTCTCTCTGTCTCTCCTTTTCTAACTCTGACTTTCAAATAAATCTCAAAAAAAAAAAAAAATCAGCAAGGTGATGTTGGACCTATAAAGGCATTAAACTATTACCTGCAGTTTTACTGTCAATCGCAAAACATATCCACTAGTTTACACCCTAATCGGCCTCAACAGCCAGATCTGTGCCGACCTGAAGACAGAAGCCTGGAGCTTCTTCCGGGACTCTGCACATGGGTGCAGGGGCCCGAGCACTTGGGTCATCTTCCACTGCTTTCCCAGGCCACAGTAGAGAGCTGGATTGGAAGTGGAGCAGCTGGGATTCGAACCAGCGCCCAAAAGGGATGCCAATGCTGCAGGCAGTGGCTTTACCCACTATGCCAGAGTGCCAACCCCTACCAATAACCTCTTAATCTACCAATCCAAATGCTTTTTTCAGATGTCTTCTTCCCCTTTTCAATAGCTCAAGCATACTAAAGATTTGTTGGGAACCATAAAATAAACACCACAAATATCCAGATTCCCAAACCCACAGTTAACAAATAATAACATCTGATATTTGGGTTCTAGGTCTTCTTTAACATCCACAATGTTAAACAAGCAGTTGATGCCTCCTTTGTACACTGTCCCATCCCATTCACATCCTTCCCAGAGGATTTTCAAATGGATGCAGAGCCTTCCTACTCATGCCCTTAAACTTATGAGGACATGTCACCATAAATGATGGTACTGGTTTTTCAAACAGCCCTATAATTTACACTCCAGGAGTTATCCGCATGTCCAAATACAAAACAAGACCTATTTCACTCCTTTCAAAAGTTACATACTGTCAATCACTGTCATATATACTATTATTCTTTTATCTTATTGAAGACAGGATGTTTCTCAATTTTGCTAGAGTAAATCTGGCTGTCATGTCTCCTCAGCATAGTCTTTCCCACAAGTACATGCCCAAAAGTAGAAGTGCTTTCCTCTGGCCACAGGGCTTCTACCTAGACAATGCCAAATTGTTCTTAAAAGTAGTTCACCAGTTATGAATTCACCAGCAATGTCTACAAGTTCCCATCTCTCCATTATTTCTCCACTTTACTGCAGAAGGAGACACATTTCAGTACGTTGATCATCAAAGATGGTAGAGGGGGCATTAGACCTAGTGATCAGGCTCTTGTATCCCACATTAGAATTTTCTGGGTTTATCCAGCTCCACTCCTTAGTTCAGCTTCCCCCATTGGTACAGGCTCAGAGAGGCATCTGCAATGGCTCTATTAACTGGGTCCCTACCACACACATAGGAGACTGGGACCGAGTTCCTGGCTTCCTGGCTTAAGCCCTGAATATGGCCACTGCAGGCATCTGAGAAGAGAACTGGTAGATGAGAGCTCCCTCACTTTATCTCTCCATCTGTCTGTCTCTCAAATAAATAAATAGAGGGAGATACTACAGCACAGTGGATTAAGCCACTACTTGGGACAACTGCATCCCATATTAGACTACCTGGTTCAAGTCCTGATTACTCCGCACTCCAGATCTAGCTTTCTGCTAAGGTACCTGGAAGAATGATGGCAGATGATGGCCCAAATACTTGGGTCTCTGCTACCCATATGGGAAACTCAGATGGAGCTTCTGGCTGCTGGCTACAGCGGTTGCAGGCAACTGGGGAGTGAACCAGTGGATGGAATGTATCTATCTATATCTTTCTTTCTACCTGTCTCCCCCAACTCCAGACTCCTGACACTCTGCTTTTCAAATAAATCTTTTAAAAAATAATTTTTTGATGATGATGCTGGGGTCATCACTGTAACAAAGCAGGGTAAGCATGCGTGGGAGACCAGGAAGAAGCTCCTGGCTCCTGGCTTCAGATCGGCGCAGCTCTGACCATTGCAGCCATCTCTCTCTCTCTCTCTCGCTCTCTCTCTCTCTGCCTCTCCTTCTCTGTGTAACTGTGACTTTCAAGTAAAATAAATAAATCTTAAAAAAAAAAAAAAAGGCGGGTAAGCAGCCAATGACAATGCAGACATCCCATATGAGCACTGGTTCAAATCCTGGCTGCTCCACTTACAATCCAGCTCCCTGATAACATGCCTGGAAATCAGCAGAACATAATCCAAGTGCTTGGGTCCCTGCCACCCACAAGGAAGACCTGGCTCCTGACTTTGGCCTGGGCCAGCCTGGCTGTTGTGACTATTCATGGAATGAATCAGCAGATGAAGATCTTTTTATCCCTCCTTCTCTCCCTTTCTCTCTGTCACTCTTTCAAATAAATAAATCTTTAACCGTAAATAAATGATGATGCTGGTCACCATCTGCTTCTCTAGCCTCGCATACTCATCTAACAGTAAAGAGACAGAAAGCACCACTAACCATTTCATCGACAACCCCGCTTTCCCTGCTCTTCTCTTTACCCAAGTTGTTCTACAAACAGTCCTATCCTCTCATCATTACTGCCCAAAGATCATCAGCAGCCTTTCCCTACGCAGCCCCAATCTCCCCAACCTGTGGGATCTCTCTCTCCCTCTCCTGAATCTCAGCGATTTGTTTGTTCTCTCTATAGAGCTCACTCTCATCAGCCTGGGATACAGGATGTAGAATTCACAGTAAACAGATTATGAAACAGATTATGAAAACCATGGTTTTCAAAGTACCGTTATTTGGGTATCTGCTTTATCCCTAGCTTATATTAACCACAATACACACAAGTAAGTACTGACTGACTGTGAAAATAGTACTACAGAACTACATGTATGATTTATTACAAAAGAAAAACTGACAGAATCCCATCCTCTTCTACCTATCCTCCTGCACAACAATTACAAGTGGCAGCCATCTGAGTTGTTGTATAAACACCAGGTCTTTGTGGAGGATTTTAAAAATACTTTTTCGGCCGGCACCGTGGCTCAATAGGCTAATCCTCTGCCTGTGGCGCCAGCACCCCGGGTTCTAGTCCTGGTTGGGGCGCCGGATTCTGTCCCAGTTGCTCCTCTCCCAGTCCAGCTCTCTGCTGTGGCCCGGGAGTACAGTGGAGGATGGCCCAGGTCCTTGGGCCCTGCACCCGCATGGGAGACCAGGGGGAAGCACCTGACTCCTGGCTTCGGATCGGTGCAGTGCGCCAGCCATGGCGGCCATCTGGAGGGTGAACCAACGGAAGGAAGACCTTTCTCTCTGTCTCTCTCTCTCTCACTGTCTAACTCTGCCTGTCAAAAAAAAAAAAAAAAAAAAAACCTTTTTTTCAATCAACGTACTTTGAAGTGTCTGTTTGTTTTCAATTTCTTCAGAAAAAATAAGCTGTATAAGCATAAAACTCTGAACTAAATACTGAGAAGTAAATTCTCTTTAATAAAGCATACACAGGAGTGGGGGTGGGGGTGAAAAGTCCATGGAAAATTCGTATTATCCTGTAACTTCATCTGTCCATGTTCTAAAGCCCCTGCATATCTCTGAGTACTCTGTGCCCAAGAAGAAAAGAGTGAGGGAAAAACACACACTTACCTGACTGTCCGACCTTCCTAAAGGGCACCATCTAGGCCGGCTGCACATGCAAGCTAGCCATTCAGTCCAGAACGAAGACCACCAAGTGAGACACAGGAGCAGGAGCGCCAGTGAGCAGGCAAGAGCGGGGGCTCCACAGCTACTGCACTCTAAGGCACTGAGCTTTCTGTGAGCGCAGTACACCCACCAATTACTCTGGTCTACTCGCCGTGATCAGTTTTTCGAAGCTCAGGTGCCTTTTAAAACCAGTCTACACAGCAACAAAACTACTTTTGTTCCTTCCTTTCAACTTCCAGAATCATTGTCCTGAAAATGAGCCCCAAAATGCAGGATTTGGGGCAGGGTGATCTGATGAGGAAGGGGAAAAAGAGGAGAGAAGGGGCTGGGGGACAAAAATCAACTTAAGTACATTACTGTGGACTTCTTCATCCAGTGCCTTAACTTTTCCTTTCTTCTTAATGAGCTGGATTTTGCAGGCATTGGCTTCCCAGTCTTTGTCGTTGCCTCCATCAACTCCCACACCTAAATTGTCACAAGATAGAAAAGCAAGATTGTGAAACTGGCTATTGCTAAAATTACCAACGTGAGACAAAAATTTCCATTTAAAAAACTGTACTTTCATCTAATTAATCAATTCAACAATTACTGAAAACCTACTATGTATGAAGAACCTCAAGAGCTGCTACAGATAAAAATGAAAATAACTACCTCTTTGCCTCAGATTTTATTTCTAACAGTTTATTAAAAAGACAGACAGGGGGAGGGGCTGACATCATGGCACAGGTTAAGCTACCACCTATAACACTGGCATCCCATATGAGTGGCAATTCGAACCCCACAGCTCCACTTCCCATCCAGCTCCCTGCTAATCCAACTGAGAAAGCAATGGAAGATGGCCCAAGTACGAGGACCCCTGCCACCCATGTGGGAGACCCAGATGAAGCTCCTGGCTTTAGGCTAGCCTACCCCAGCCTGGGTATTGCAGCTATTTGGGAAGTGAAACAGCAGATCTAAGATCTCTCTCTCCCCGCTCTCTATAATTCTGCCTTTCAATATAATAAATAAATCTTACCAAAAAAGGAGGACAACAATGACAAAGAAGGCTGCATGTTTAGCACAGCAGTTAAGTCACTGCCTGTGACACCCACACCCTATATTGGAGTGCTTAGATTGAGTCCTGGCTCCACCACTTAATGAGCCAGCTTCCCACTAATGTGTACCTTGGGAGACGAGTACTTGGCTCAGGTACTTGGGTCCCTGTCACATATGTGGGAGACCCAGACTGAGCTCCAGGCTTCAGCCTGACCCAGTCCTTGCTATTGTGAATATGTGGGGAGTAAACCAGCAGAAAAAGATTTGTCTTTCTCTCTTTCAAATAAAATGAAAAATAATAAGTAAAAATAAAAACACATGTATGAGAACCATGACATGGGTCAAGACAACATTTTAATAAAAAAGCATACAGACAAGGAATACAGCATGATTGCAATACAGCACGATTGCAAGTTATAATAAAGAGTTATAATAAAGTGTTAGATACTTTTGCAACTGCAGTACAATGGAAAAATGCAGAAGATGGGCACTCACCACAGGAGGTCAAGGAGGAAAGGTCAGGGAACATATATCTCTTGAGATTCTAGTGAAGTTGCTAGGAATTTGAAAAAGTTACCCTGAAGGTCCAGGGAAAACACCAAGTCGTTTCAAGCAGAAAAAGACTTGGCAGAAACAGTGAGCAAGCTCTCTGCAAGCAGTGTCTAGGATGGACTGGAAAAACCAGCTGTCAACAGCTACAGCTACAGCAAAGCCAAAGTAAAGAGGGCTTGAACTACGCAGTGTAATGAAAACAGATAGGCGATGGGGAACACAACCTGCTGGATGTGAAGTGAGAAAGCAGAACAAGGCTGGGATACTCCTAGGCTCAACGGACTTGGTGAATGACAGTTGAAAAAGGGACATAGAAGGAACATATGGGGGAGTGAGTGAGGATTGCAGTGTAGGCAGTTTAATGCCAAATATGCAGTTTATAATATCAAGGCCTATTCAGAAAGAAATTTCTAGAGGCAGAGAAAAATATGTAACTTGGGAAATACATTTGGACTAGAAACACATCTAGATTTTAAGTCACCAACACAGAGGAAGTTGATGAGTTCCAGAGCTCACCTATGAGGTAACAAATAAGAAAATTGGACCTAGGGAAGAATATTGAAGAATATTTAAGCAGTAGGTAGAAGAACATGAGCCTCCAAAACTGACAAAGAAACCAGAATGGGCCTTTGGTGCAGGGATTAGTCATCACTTGGGATGCCTGCGTCCCATACCAAAGTGCCAGGTTCAAATCCCAGTTCCTCCACTTCCAACCCAGCTTCCTGCCAATGCACACCTTACTCAAGTACTTGGGTTTCTGTCACCCATATGAGAGACACAGATTGAGTTACAAGTTCCTAGCTTCAGCCTGTCCCAGCCTCAGCTGTTGTGGGCATTTGGGGAGCAAATGGAAGATCTGTCTCTATCTCTCTTTGAAATAAAATGAAAATAAGAATTTTAAAAGGAAGAGATTGAGAAGATGTAATATAATAGAAACTAAAGGAGAGAATTTTAGAAACAAAGGAACTGAGGAACTGACTTTCCATTACAAAGAAAAGTCTGGGAGGATAAATGCCCTTCCAGTGGCAATGTTAGGCATACAGAAGAGTTACACAGCAGGTCTGACACGGCTAACCTTAGGCCTCTCTTCAAGGTCAGCCCTAAGCTGGCACTTGGGAACTTGGACGCTGGGAATTCCCACCACCCTAATTGAATAAGAGTGGCTTATGATGTCTACACTGTGCAAACAATGGGACTTAAGCTGAATGCCTGCTTTTCCCCTAAGAGTCTGGAACTTTGGTAGGTACTAAACAGACAGTGCCCACACAACCAGACTCAGTAAAAGCCGCAGGCACCGAGTATCTACTGAGCACTGCTGGGAGACAACACTTCACAAATGTCCTGACATCTCACTGGAGGAGTTAAACACGTCCTGAATGACCACCGGCAGAGGACTGGTGGAAGCTCATGCATGGTTTTCTCCAGATTTCACCTCATGCACTGTGGGGAGCAACTCGGACTAGACTGTTACTCGAATTAAGACTTATTCTATGCATCTGCTCTCCCGTAATATGGCGCTGGGAGAGGAGGAAACAGCTTCTACACAGCTGCCTCCAGTTCAACCAATAAACAGCAGGACCTGCTCCTGATTGGAGGAGAGCAGCGTACTCGGCGTGTGGGTAGCAGAGTTGGGATTGGTGGAAGAGGACCATAAAGGAGGAGAGAGACAACATGCACCAGGAACACCTGAGGAACATCTGAGTAGCCCCCGAGAGAGCCGGCCGGAGGTGTGCCGCTCCCCCGCGGAAGTGGGGAAAGTGGCAGGGGGAACCGCCCTTCCACGGAGGTGGAAGGGACGGTAGCCAACCCAGGAAGAACCAGCAGCAAACCCGGGGAGGGCCGAGCAGACAAAAGAACAGCGCAGGGTCCTGTGTCGTTCCTCCATGAAGAGGGGGGCGACATAATGGTGCCGTGACTCGGATAGGAAACCTAGGAGGGAAGAAGCAGGAAGAAACGGGAAGAAGCGGGAAAATACCGGAGGGAGAGACTAGGGAAGAGCCTAGGGAAAAGCCGGACAGAAGAAGTGCCGGAAGAAGTTAGGATTGAAAGCGAAAGTGAAAGCTGGAGGAAACATAGACTCGGATGCGGACTATGGCGGGGAAGCTAGGAGATTAAAAGCGAAAGTGAAACCTAGAAGAAACTTAGACTCGGATACGGACTGTGGGGAGAAGCCAGGAGAAATGAGGGGAATATTGTTGGAAGAAAAGTTAGGAAACATACCGGGTAGAGAAAAATGTTAGGGAAAATGAAGCTGCGGGGGCAGGCTGAGGCGGAGACGTAAGCTAGCTTGGGATTCGTCAAGTCAGCTCAGGGAGCAAAAGGCGAAAAGCTAAAACCAGAGGCGGAGACGCGTAAGCTAGGTTGGAATCCGTCAGATTAGCCTGGGGAGCAAAAGACAGGAAGCCAAACCAAAGCGGAGACGTGAGCTAGGTTGAATTCGCCAGGTTAGCCCGGGGAACTTAGACTGAATACCGGTGGCGGAAACGTGAGCTAGGCTGTGTGACTCGCGGAAGCCGCCGCGCGCAGAGAGAGCGCGCGGGGCACAAACGGGGAGAGCGCACGAGGCGCGAGTAGAGAGAATGCAGGGCTGGCGCGAAGGCCGTGGTGCGGGCACAAAGGGCGTGGAGACCGCGGAGCGCGTGAAGCCGGGAAGCCGTGCAGAGCCGGGAAGCAGCCGCGGGGCAAGGTGCCGAGAAGCAGCCTCGGGGCGGGCGCCGGGAAGCCGCAGGGATAAGAGAAACAGAAGTTTAGAAGTAAAATGAGAGAAATAGGAATGCTGGCAGATAGAAGTAAAATAGGAGAGATAGGAATGCCCAGAGGTAGAGAAATAGAGAAAAATAAGGCCTCCCCACAACATGGCAATGAGAGAGCTTGGATTCGGTCTGCCTGATTAGTAAGACGATAAGCACCTGTGGGCAGCTGCAGGTCACCGAAGACAGGCACGTTATCAACACCAATAAGTCTCCCCACAAGACGGCAATGAGAAGGCTCGGATTCGGTTTGCCTGATTGATAGGGCTTATAAGCACCTGCAGGCAGTTCTAGCAGAGCAGAGCATGCGCTGCAGGGCACCGAACACAGGCACGCATCAGCGCCTAAAAACCTCCTCACAACATGGCGAAGAGAGGACCCGGATTCGGTTTGCCTGATTGGTAGGGCTTGTAAGCACCTGTGGGCAACTCTAGCAAGCAGAGCAGAGTGTGTGCCACGGGGCACCGAAGACAGGCGCGTATCAACGCAAAAATAAAAAGAAAGGGGGAATTGTGGGGAGCAACTCGGACTAGACTGTTACTTGAATTAAGACTTATTCTATGCATCTGCTCTCCCATAATATGGCGCTGGGAGAGGAGGAAACAGCTTCTACACAGCTGCCTCCAGTTCAACCAATAAACAGCAGGACCTGCTCCTGATTGGAGGAGAGCAGCGTACTTGGCGTGTGGGTAGCAGAGTTGGGATTGGTGGAAGAGGACCATAAAGGAGGAGAGAGACAACATGCACCAGGAACACCTGAGGAACATCTGAGCAGCCCCCGAGAGAGCCGGCCGGAGGTGTGCCGCTCCCCCGCGGAAGTGGGGAAAGTGGCAGGGGGAACTGCCCTTCCACGGAGGTGGAAGGGACGGTAGCCAACCCGGGAAGAACCAGCAGCAAACCCGGGGAGGGCCGAGCAGACAAAAGAACAGCGCAGGGTCCTGTGTTGTTCCTCCACGAAGACGGGGAGCGACAATGCACCTCTCCCCTTTGCTGATTTTGCTTGGTATCCTCGCACTGGAATCCATCGTAGCCCTGAGTATAACACACTGAGTCTCAGGAGTCTTCCAGTCTGAGGGTGGTCCTGGGGAACCCTGACACAGGGCAGTTAGAGCTGAACACAACACTGCCAGAACATCATATATTTTTATTTGTTTAACAAATATAGTAGACTCTCAGGCAAGTTTCCAAGCCAAAAGCATGGAATTCAAAGAGAAAAAGAACATAAACTTACAGGAAAGAAAAAAGAACTTATAAAGCAGGACCTTCAACATTCTACCATGAAAATGCCCTAAGTGTCTTATGTTAGCAATGTGCTTCAAAAAGCTGACTGTTAAAAGAAGCAGTACTCCACTTAAATGGTAATATTGTTGAAATTACATAGACAAGCCCTTTAAACATAAGACAAAAATTCTTTAAATTTACATTTACTAAACACCAAGACAGACATTACTAAAAAGTCCAACCTCCAAAAAGAAAAGAAAAACATTCTCTATTTAGGTTCAAAAGTCATACAAAATCCACAATATTTTTTAAAAGAAAATACCAGCAGAATCGTATCCTCTATATTCCAGTCTCTGAAGGCCTTTGATTAGAGTCTCCAAGATTTCTCGTCTTGTGCGCGGAACATGGTAGTTTAAGTAAGCAAATATACCTGCAAACAAACATTTAATGAGAAACTTCAATTAAATAATTAAAATTGATCTAGAGTGTGCAAAAAATCTGACAGTAGATTAGATTCCCTCTTTAAAAAGCCCCAGTTCAAGTCCCAGCTGCTCCACTTCTGATCCAGTTCCCTGCTAATGAGCTCTGGAAGGTAGCAGAAGATGGTCCAAGCACTTGAGTTCCTGCCACCCATGTGGAAGACCCAGATGGAGTTCCTGCCTCCTAGCTTTGGCCTGGCCCAATCTGGGCCATTGCGGTCACTTGAGGAATGAACTACTAGATGTTTCTCCCTCTCTATCATTCTATCTTTTGGATAAATAAATAAATCTTTAAACAATGAAGAAGAAGAAGAAAGAAGAAAGGAGGAGAAGGAGAAGAGGGAGAAGGAGCAGGAGGAGAAGAAGACGAGGAAGAAGAGGAGGAAGAGGAAGAAGAAGAAATAAAAGTATTCATATGATGTGAACTGAACCTAAAAAGTAAAGAGGTAACAGGAGATGGTAAGGGAGTCCACATTTATGACCAGCAGCATGGACATCAACAGAGGTCCTCTATGACTGTGCTTCAGTAACGGCGGAGTCAGCCCACCTACAGAAAATCCAAGACCACGAAGATGTAAATTCAAACTTATTTGTGAAAGAACTGTCCTTTCACTTAACTACATTTCACTATGATTCTACAGACTCATAAAGATTTAAGTCAGTTCTGCAGAATAGAACTCCATTTCCATCTGAAAAAAGATCTTCATTTCTATAAAAAGCATGGTGCTATTTAAACATTTCAGCATACAAAAATACCACACTGTTAATATCCAACATAAAAGCCATCATAGGGGCCGACGCTGTGGTAAAATGGTTAAAGCCACAGCCTGCAGTGCTGGCATCCCATCCCATATGGGTACTGGTTCGAGTCCTGGCTGCTCTACTTCCAATCCAGCTCCCTGCTAATGGTCTGGGAAAGCAGTGGAAAATGGCCCAAGTCCTTGGGCCCCTGCATCCACGTGGGAGACTGGGAAGAAGCTCCAGGCTCCCAGCTTCTGATCAGTCCAACTCCGGCCGTTGCAGCCATTTGGGAAGTGAACCAGTGGATGGAAGACCTCCCCCCTCTCCCCCCCGCCTCTGCCTCTCTGTAACTCTGCCTTTCAAATAATAAATAAATAAATCTTTAAAAAAAAGCAATCATAATGTATACACTGATCACCATGATCAGTACAGTAACATTTCCTCAAATAAACCATCAGGTCCCAAGAAAAGAAAGAAAATCTACACTTTAAAAATCAAAATCTAAAACAACCTGAAACAACTGTTTGAACATTTCCCCCAAAAGGGAGTATCAAGCCAAAGATTTATAGAAATTGTGTATTTCATTCATTTGAAAAAAAAAAGGCTTATACTTGGAATTTTTTTTTTTTTTTGGTTGTCAGGTGTTGTGCAATCATTTCATTTCCATAGTACCACAATCCTGTAAGAGAGGTAGAACATCTATTTTATAGATGCAAAAATAGAAACTGGGTTAGTCAAAATCCCAGAGATAGTTAGGAATAGCACTCTCAATCTCCAAACATAGCAACTAAGATAAGGAAACAAAACTACACTGGTTAGCTGTTTCTAGGGTTAGAGTGGCAGCAGCAGAGCAGTGTGCACTTCATAACCTATAGAGGGCGGGAGACGAGCCTCCAAGACCAACTGTCTACTCAAAATAGATGCATGAGGTCTGGGTTTTATTATTACTGCTGTTCACTCAAAAAGCACCTGCAATATGCATCAACTAAACCAACAACCAACGTGCAACTTAAACTTTTTTTAAAGATTTATTTTATTTATTTGAAAGGCAGAGTTACAAACAGGGGGAGGGAGGGAGGGAGGGAGGAAGGAAGGGGGAGAGAGAGAGAGAATCTTGATATCTTTTATCTGCTGTTTCACTCCTCAAATGGCTGCAGCAGCTGGGGCTGGGCCAGGCCAAAGCCAAGATCCTGGAACTCCAAACGGGTCTCCCACATTGGTTACAGGAAACTGGTACTTGGACCACCTTCCACTGCTTTCCCAGGTGCATTAGCAGGGAGCTGGATTGGAAGCAGAGCAACAGGAACTCAAAATGGGATGCCATACTACAGTGCTCGAGTTCCAAACCTAGCTCTGACTCCAATTCCAGCTTCCTAATGATGCATACTCAGGGGGGTAATAAACTGATGGTTCAAGTACTTGGGTCACTGCCACTTATAGGAAAAACCCAAACTGAGTTTCAGCCTCCTGACTACAGCTTGGTCCAGCCCCAGATGTTGTGAGCATCTGGGGAACAAATCAGCAAATGGAAGACCTCTCTGTGTCTCTCCGTCTATGTCTCTCAAATAAAATGAAAATTAAAATTTTAAAAATAATTTTTTAAATATTTTTTAAAAATCAATATAGAGACCAGCATTGTGGCACAGCAGGTTAGGCTCCTGCTGCAATGCCAGTAACCCATATCAGAATGCCAGTTTGAGTCTCAGTTCCAATCCAACTCCCTGCTAATGCACCCGGGAAATCAGTGGAAGATGGTCCAAGTACTTGGGATCCTACCACTCAGATGAGAGACCTAGATTGTGTTCCTGGCTTCAACCAGGCTTAGCCCCAGATGTCATAACCATTTGGGGAGTTAACCAGCAGATGGAAGGTGTCTTTCTGTCTCTCCCTCCTTATCTGTCACTTTGCCTTTAAAATAAATAAAATCTAAAACAGAAGAAGAAATGTAGAGCAGGTGTTTGGCACAGTGGTTAAGACACTGCTTAGGACCACCAGGTTTCACATCAGAGTACCTGGATTCAAGTCCCCGCTCCACTCTGAATTCTAGCTCTCTACCAGGGTAGCCTCTGGGGGCAGCAGGTAATGACTCAAGTAGCTGGGTCTCTGCTGCCCGTATGGAGACCCACAATGAATTCTGGGCTCCTGGCTTCAGCCTATTACAGGCATTTGGGGAGTGAACCAGAAGATGGGGTATATCTCTCTCTCAATTTTGAAATAAATATTTAAAAAATAAAATAGATTTAAGTCTGACAGAAGTAATACATTCAGAGATTTAAAGATTAAGGATAGTAATATAATGCCAATTTTTTAAAAAGATTTATCTATATACTTATTTATTTGAAAGTCAGAGTAACAGAGAGAAAAACAGAAAAAAAAGAGAGAGAAATTTTCCTGCGTGCTGATTCAAATAGCCACAACAGCCATGTATGGGCCAGGCCAAAGGCAAGAGCTAGAAACTCTATCCTAGTGTCCCAATGGTAGCAGGGGCCAGCGTACTTGGGCCATCTTCTGCTGCCTTCCCAAGTACATTAACAGGGCACTGGATCAGAAGCAGAGCAGCTGGGACTCGAACTGGCACTCTGATATGGGATTCCAGCATCACAAAGAGCAGCTTAAACTGCTACACAATGCCAGTCTAAATCTGATACCAATTTTAAAAACAATTTAAATGCTAATGATATAAAACAAATTATTCTTAAGATAAATTACAGATTCAACACTTCTGATGATTCAGAATGATGCAAAACAGACACGCTGTTTCTGATACATGTAACTCAACAACGTTCCGCTTGACATTGCTCTTAACGTCAATCTCCCGGGTTTACACTGGCACACTAGTGGAGTAAATTTTGAGATCCTGAGTTCATTTCTACAGAAAAGAAAGAGATCTTCTAAACCAATGCTCCCCTTCAAAGTTATACAATCGTAACCATCTGATAAACTAACAAATTTACACACTAAACGTGTTAGCTCATAAAAAAGCACTCTTGTGTGGATGAAATCCTGTAAACTCTTTTAATTCCTGTGTACCTTCAAAGCTCTCCACTATAGCAGCCCAGCTCAGCCTCCCCTTCTGTGAAAAGAATGGCTTTGGCTGAGATGGTAAACAGATTTCCCAGCAAGCACCAGTGAGTCATTAGTTAGTAGTGGCTGCAGAACACTGCTGAAAAGGATTCAGGGGTCCCATTTCCCAAAGAGAAAAGAAAGCCATGACTGCTCAGCACCATCTATTCATGTGGAGGAACAAAACAAGGGCCAAATACCTCCCACCTCCAACACTGGAGGACACCTACAGTCCCCCAGCTCGTCATTCTACCATTCCTCACGATTCTCCTGCTTGCTTAGAGACATTCCTGACAGGTGTGACATTTTTAAACACCCATACAGGGGCCAGCCTTATGGCCCAACGGGTTGAGGCTCTGCCTGTGATACCAGCACTTTATAGGCACTGGTTCAAGTTCTGGCTTCTTCATTTCTGATCCAGCTCCCTGCTCACTATCTGGGAAGGCAGTGGAAGACAGCCTGCGTGCTTGGGCCTCTATCACCCATGTTGGAGACTAGGATGAAGCTCCTGGCTTCAATGCAGCCATTTGGGCAGGGAACCAGCAGACGGAAGACCTCTCCCTCTAACTCTGCCTTTCAAATAAGTGGACAAATATTTTAAATGAATAAATAAGTACCTCTACAGACTATAATTGCCTAGGTCTCATTTCTTTGTTACATTTACATGATTTTGTTCTGTGTATACTATATCAAATTAAAACTGAAATCCTAGTGAAAAGCTTTATTTTCAAAGTATATTATTAAGAATAAAAGCAACAAAAGAATGAAATATTCAAGACATTTTTCTTTTTTTTGAAAGATTTATTTACTTGAGAGGCAGTTTCGGACAGAGAGAGGGAGAGACAGAGAGAGAGGTCTTCCATCTGCTGGTTCACTTTCCAAATGGCCGCAATGGCCAGCGCTGGGCAGATCTGAAGCCAGGAGCCAGGAGATTCTTCCAGGTCTCCGACGTGGGTGCAGGGGCCCAAGCATTTGGGCCATCTTCTGTTGCTTTTCCCAGGCTCACTAGCAGGGAGCTAGATTGGAAATGGCGGAGCCAGGACTCGAACCAGCGACCATATGGGATACCAGCCAAGCACGCAGCTTTACCCGCTAAGCCACTGTGCCTGTCCCCAGGATGTTTTCTACAAACCATATTATCACACCT